GTTTTTCGTTATGTTTAAACGGAAATTACGGTCAGGCTAGGCTTCAAAGACATTGAAAATATATCTTTTCTAATTCTTTTATGATAAAGACATAAAAATGATAAAGACATAAGGACCAGGCCCGTAGCCAGGGGGAATTCCCCCCCCCCCCGAAAAAAATCCTGGCTACGGGCCTGATAAGGACAATACATTTGATATAATAAAAGTAAAAGGGAATTAGGTTTGAAGGGCAACAATTTGAATAGGATGAAAGGAAAATACTTGAAAGTTGGATGAGTGAATTGTTTACTTTAATATATTGTGAAATAGGGGCAAAATAGATAAGAAAGGAAGGTGATAAAAAATATTAATATATTTAAACCACCTGCATAACACTTACATATAACTCCTTTTATAATAGGTATAGTAAGTGGGTTTGTGTAAAAATATAAAATTTTTAGGAAAAACTTCCTGTTTGTATCTAAGAATCAGGCAACTTGTTCTATTTTGGCAGCTAGTGGTTATAGTGTTGCTGACTTTGAAAAACTTCGTCGACCAATTGACAAAGAATTTGATCCTTTAGAATTACAGCATAAATTTTATCGGTATTTAATTATTTTTATTTTTTTATTATTTTTCTATTTAGTGGTCTCTATCCTCAAATTATGTCAGACATTCGTCAAATTGAACAAAATTGGCGCGAGGGTCATCATCGCCTTGAACGAATTAATTGTGGATCAGAAAATAGTAAAGGTTATTTTTATATTTAAATTTGATTTATTCTCACTAAATTTTACTTTCCTACTATTTTAATATGGATTATAATAGGGTTATGTTTGTATTTATTAGTATTTTTCAATTTTTAGGTGTCTATTGTCTTCAATATGATGATGAAAAGATTGTATCTGGACTGCGTGATAATACAATAAAGGTGATTAATTATTTTTAATGTTAGCATATTCGTCTTTCTTTTAAAGATTTGGAATCGTCCTGCTCTTCAATGTGTTGCTACTCTTACTGGTCACACTGGCTCTGTGCTTTGTTTACAATATGACAACCAAATTATTGCCAGTGGAAGTAGTGATGCAACTGTTCGGTTTGTTTTTCTTTTTCACTTTAAAATTTTTTTAATTCCTTCAAAACTATAAACATGGGATATTCATAAATTTAATTTCTGTAGGATTTGGGATGTGAGGACTGGTGCTCAATTAAATACACTCATTCATCATTGTGAGGCTGTTCTTCACTTACGATTCCAAGATGGAGTTTTGGTTACTTGGTTAGCTTTTCCTTACATTAGTCTCAATATACTTTTTCCTTTCTAGTTCCAAGGACCGTTCTATCGCCGTTTGGGATATGGCATCCCCTACAGAAATAAACATTCGGCGTGTACTTGTTGGACATCGTGCTGCTGTTAATGTTGTAGATTTTGATCAACGCTATATTGTTTCTGCTAGTGGCGATCGCACAATTAAGGTTTTTCATTTTAATTTCTTTTTATAAATTTAATTTTCATAGGTTTGGAATGCCGGGACTTGCGAATTTTTGCGAACTCTTAATGGTCATAAGCGCGGTATAGCTTGTTTGCAGTACAGAGATCGGTTAATCGTTTCTGGTTCGAGCGACTTTTCTATACGGTATAATTAGTTTTTTAATTTTTGGAATGGTCTGTAAAGTTTTTTTTTCTTGAAACCATAACGAGATTTATTTTGGTTAAAAATTAACCTTTTTTTTAATTTATTTTTCCTTTCAATTACCTTCTTTGGTTACTTTTGATTAATACTTTTCCGTTTTTCTTATGGAATTAATTTACATTAATATTTTAGTCTTTGGGACATTGAATGTGGCAATTGTCTGCGTGTGCTAGAAGGTCACGAAGAGCTTGTTAGATGCATTCGATTTGATTCCAAACGCATTGTTTCGGGTGCTTATGACGGGTAAAGATCCAAAAAAATTTTTTTAAATCTTTAAATATTTTAGAAAAATTAAAATTTGGGATTTACAAGCTGCTCTCGACCCGCGAACACCGCCTAATAGTTTATGTCTAAAAACTTTGTCAGAGCATACAGGAAGAGTTTTTAGACTACAATTTGATGAATTCCAAATTGTAAGGAATTTTAAAAATTAAATTTTTGTAATTAATTTTTTAGATAAGTTCTTCTCATGACGACACAATTTTGATTTGGGATTTTTTAAATGTTGCAAATAACAGAGCAATTACTGCTGGGCCAGGTGGCGGAGGATTGGCAGCGGCAGCTGTTGTTGGTGCCGTTGGGGCAATTCAGCAACAAAATCTACAGCTTGCACAAATGAATGGAATTTGATTGTGATTTTGGGTTTAATTAAAAAAATTTAAATACTATCAATATGTTGCTCTAATTATTTCCTTTTTATATTTAAATTTATCATTGAGGGAATTTTTAAATTAAATTTTAAATTTCTTTTAACTTGAGTTTCTTCGAATTTAGAAATTCTTAAATCAGAAAAAAAATATTTTTAAATTCCCTTTTATGTTCCATCTTTTACATGGGAATTGGATGTTTTAAGATTGATTTGATTGACATTTTACTACTGACTTTTTTCTTTTTCATTATAAAACTCTTTCACGGATTAACTAGAGAACTTTAAGAAAATTTAAATAAAATTAACAGAGAAAATTAACAAAAAAATTCTGGATATTTTTATGTTTAAATAAATAAATTTTAAAGTTCTCCAGTTTGAACATGTACATTTTATATTTACCGAAATAAAAACATTTACCACTAATAAATAAATAAACTTCATTTTTTTGCTTTATTGACCAAAATATATTTTTGTTCTTTTAAAGTAAAAAAAACAATTTTTAATTCCATTTTCTTCTCACAATCTACTATTTTTCTCTTAAAATTAAATGTATAAAATTAATAAAAACACAAAATTTTGTGTGTTCCATTTTTTGTGTAAAAATAACCAATTTTCTTTTCTAGTATAAATTGTGTTGGAATTATTTTTGTTCGATTTTTAAATTGTTTTTGATCATTTTTTTATTTTTCATTTTATTTTAATTCAGAAAATAGATAATATTAAGGATAATTTTTAATTTATGCCTGCTATCAGCAAATTTTTGCATCTTTCGCCTGTATTAAATGCTCGGCAAATTGCTCCTCGGAGTGATTTAGTTAGTTTTCTTCTTGTAGGAAATGGACAACAGACAGGTTTGTTTTAAAAGTATTTGCTTATGTGAGGCTGGTTTCCCGTATTTTTTTGGTTGGGAGAGTTACGATGAGAGGGTCGTTTAAACCAGAGTTTTTCGAAATTTCGGTTTTTGAGGTTATTTTTCTTTCGATTTCCGATTTTCGAAAATTTTTTTTTGTTTCGAAACACCTCTGGTTTAAACTAGGGTAATAGTTTAAACGGGTGGCACCCCGAGCTTTCGGGGCGTAAGTGGCGGTTTTCCTGTTAGAGCCTTCGGGTCGGGGTTTTTGCCTAAAAATTCGTCGGGGTTTCGGGGGACCCCTGCTGCCCTACTTTAAACAGTTTAGAAATTATTTTTAGTAATTAATGTTCGTCATTCTGGTCATGCCTGGGTTTTTCGTCGGCGTCAAGGACAACTAATTAGCAACAAACTTAAAGACGGAGGTCATTTTTATATTGTTGGACTTGGATTAATTCCTGGCTTTCTTCTTTTGATTGTAGTACATGCTATATTTGGTTAGTTTTTTTGAAAACTAATAAATATTTGGTATAGTTACCAAAAACTGAGAAATAAATTTCATAAAGTTACTGAAAATTAAATGTTTTCTATTTTTGTTTTCGATATCCAATTTTGAAAAATGTTGAAAAGATTGTCTCTAACAGTTAAATTGTGAAAGGACAAGATATTTCTCTTTTGAGAGAAAGATATTGAACACAATCTATTTTAAGAGCTTTAATTAATTCCTTGAAGTCCCAGGGAAAAAATACAAAAAATTTCGACGGTTCTGAAAATAAAATTATTCTCATTAACTATTTTTAATTAAAAAATATTAGGTAGTCAATGTGAACTTCAAGAATACCCAAAAGAAGGTGAACAACCTCCTCATTATTGGCAATTTGAGAGAACACCTTTACGACAATTTTTAGCCCGTTACATTACTCCAAGCGGTAAATCTTTTAAATTAAATTTTAATTTTTTAAATCAAAAAAGATATGCAATATCATGAGTCTTGGGCTTCGCGTTTTTCTCATTGGCAAATTAGAAATCGATGGAATAGAATTGAGGCTCGTGTTAAACATTTAATTGCTGAACGACAGGATTATAAAGCTTATCATTACCATCCAGTTACCGTTGAATGGTTGGATCATGGTTAGTTTATTTTTAGGGATTTTTTTTATAATTCATTGGAGATTTGTCAAATTTATCTCTTTTTTATAATTTTTGAAATATTTTTTTGGGGGGAATATAAAAATTTTCTGATTTTTTTTTATCTTACTACTTTTTAAAAACACTTTATAGCTAAGAGACGTGCTGCCATGTTTGAGCAACATTATTTTTCTTCTGCCAGTGCAACAACTAGGATGGAGTAAAAAGTTGGATTTTTGGTTTAGATAATTTTAATGTAAATTGTTAATTATTTTAGTGAAATTCTTTTGTTTTTTAGGATAAAAAATTCTGAAATTTTTTAAACTTTTTAATTCTTTCAATAGATATACCCGGTATTTACTTTTTAAAATCGTTTACATAAGGGTATTCTAACATAAAATATACAAACATTACAAAGTTTTTCTATTGCAAAACTTAGTCTGTTCGTTAAGTACTTTCCAAAGGAAAGTAATACTTTAAGGAACTGTACCACCCCCAGTTTTTGGCTGATCTCCGGTTTTGGTTAACCGAAGTCAGTTTCTAGCCATTTTTTGTACCAGAATAGCTCATAAAAATATGTTCATTACTTCCTATATGATCCCAATTATATACAGTTATTGAGAAAAAAACCCAATTTCAAAACAAATATTCTACAATAAAATAAATATAAATTTGTCTAGTTTTTCAATAAAAATATTTGTCAGTCTGATTCAATAATATTATTTTTATTTCTCGGCTCAAACCACTTCTTTTTGTCATTTTTGTTGATTAAAGTTTTCATATTACCTTTTTGTTGTGATAACGACAACCACCCTTTTGGTTGACCGACAGCCCCTTTTATTGTTTGCTCATATTCAATTTGATCATCTAAAAACTCTTCTTGATTCAAAAAAATCCAAAAAATAACCTCTACTTATTTGTTTATCTGCTTGACGAGAATATTCAAAATATTTCCCAGAAAATAAATTTAAACAAATCCGAACATCATCGGGCATACTAGCCATTAAAAATCCAAGTACTTGATCTAATGGGCCTTCTGCCAGCATTTTTGTAGCATAATCAGCTATTTTAAATTTAAAAAATTTTTTAATCTAAAAATTATTTTTTACAATTCCCCATTCCTTTTGGTACAAGTTTTGGCCAATAAGACAAAAATTCTTCAACAATTTCTTTTTCATTTAAAATGTAATCTTGTTCATGTTGAAATAAACATTGTTTGTCTGCACAACGTCCATTTAATTGAAATGGGCAAAGAGGAATAAATGGATTTAAATTACTTGAAAATGCTGGATGTGATAATAAATGTTGAGGGAAATTTGGACTTAATCTACAGAAAAAAAAATTTAAAAAATTATTTAATAAATACCTATATAAACGAATATTCATTAATGGAAGTGAGGGAGGTAGAAGTGTTGGGGGAGATGGAGATTCCTTTCTAACATCCTATAAAAGAATAGAAAAAATTCTGATTAAAATTTTATTTAAAAAATTTTCAGAATTATTTTAAAATAAAAATCAGAATAAGAATAGGGTAAGGAGCTTTTGTAAAAAAATTCTGAAAAATAAATAACAAGGGCGTAGCCAGAGGGCATCTGGGGAAAATCTCTTCCCCCCGGCTACGCCCTTAATAAATAGTTAATTCTGATTTATTTTAAATAAAAAAATGATTTTTTTTCTAATATTTCTTCTGTTTGTATTTATCATTTTTTATCTTTTTAAAAATATCCTTTTCCAATATTTTAATTTTTCCTTACCTGTTCTTCCAAATTTTCAGGAAATTCAGGTACTATAGATGTTGTATTTTTATCCATTTCTATCAGAACTTCATTTTCTTTTAGAATGATTTGATTAGTTTGATTATTTTTGTTTTCTTTTATTTCCCCATTAACAACAATATTCTCTTCTCCTTCTTCATCATTTTCAGCTATTTCACCTTCTTCAAGAGGAATATTACTTGGAGAAATATTTTTCTTTTTATTGATAACTTTGATTGGTTCTGTTAAACTTAAAAAAACAAAATATTTAAATTTTCTAAAATTTTTTATTTTAATATTCCACTCTTTCAAAAAGCAATCGGGGGAAGTAAATATATGTCGGCAGCCAAATTACATTCAGGACAAATTAATTTTGGCCGGCCAATTGGGGACAAGAAATCCTAAAATTTAGATAATTCTTTGTGTTTCAACGTTGGGGTTAGGTTCCGTTAACTCACTCAAATCGAGATCATGCTCGGGACCTATGCCCACTTTAAAATAAAAATAATTTATTTGTCATAAAAAAGACAATAAAAGTTAGCATTTGTTGGACTTTTTAACCAAAAATTTGTTTATTTTATTTTTTTAAACTTAAAAACCTTTTTAATTGTGGAACTAAATGTTGATTTAAATCTTCATTTCTAGAATTTATTAATATCGGTTTTTGAATTTCTTTTTGTTGTTGTAATTGTCCAATAACATCTACAGCTTTAGAAGGAATTAATTCACGCAAATCGAGATCCTAAAAATTAATTAAAAAAATAATTTTCTTTTAAAAAACCTCTCCTTCGTCCATAATTCTTGCAATTTTTCGATTAGTAGAATTATTATCCAATAAATTTTTTCGTTTTCTTGTTGGAATTGGCAGTCTAGAAATTGGTGATTTTCCTTCATTTTCAGGCAAAATTTTTTTAATTTCATTTTTTAAATTTTGTTTTTGCTGTTTTTTCTGTTGTTTAGCGACAGATTGAATGTCAGAATAAATTTTGGTAATTAATTTATTTATTGTTTCATTTATTCCTTCCAAATCTAAATCACAAATTGTCATCATTTCCTTTAAAATTAAAAATTATTGTGAAAAAATTTTTTAGAAATGAGATTTTCTTTTCATTCACAAAATTGACGCTGGAAAAATAAAAACAGCACAACTTTATAAAAAAAGAGAAGAAAAAAGTCTGTGATTATGGGATGTAAACTACACGAGTACCCCTTATTTTACAAAGTATTCCTTACCTTCCACTCAATAGAGAAATTTTGGCTTTGCCACTCCTGACGTTTCTGGGGACCGCCTCTTACCATTATAAGACCAATGCGAGTTTTTCCATGTCGGATGTCCCCAGATTTAATTAGCTTCGGTAATAAGGACCTATATCAATTAGGGTCTACGTCAAAAAATCTGGTTTGCAAAAAGATATAATGGTAGGAAAACTGCGCCCCTTACAAACGGCAGGAGTGCCTTGCGGATTAAGCGAAAACTTTTAAATTAACAAAAAATTACTTGAATTTCTCTCCGCCTACTTAAATACGAATCTCTTTTTTTATGTGCCGCATCCAATTGTGAAATTAAAATAGATAATTTATTATTTTGAGAAGATTTTCTTTTCGGTGATTGACTACTCCCTTCACTTGATTCTGTTAATTGTTTTCTAGTCTTTTAATAAAAATTAAATTTAAATTAAAAAAATATTTACTTGTGATTTCACTAAATTTTCAAGCAATTTTTGTCTTAAAACTTCATCGTCGTCATTGTCATCTTCTTCAATTTGTGGTGGTTTTATTGGTTTTCGATTTTTAGACATTTTTCTAAATTATTTTTAATTTTATAAAATTTAAAAAAAACCTTAAATTCGTGGAAATTTGTTCTTTTTCTATTTGCTCGGTGTCAATGTCCTCTTCATCTATATATTCACCCTCCTCTATTTCACTGTACATTTTTACTGAAAAAAAAACAAAAAAAAATTTAAAAGTACTTTGTGTAATTAATAAATTTCTGTTGTTTAAAATGGGTACAGCCCATTACGGCGCGGGCCAAAACGGCGCGACCGAAACGGCGCGACCGTAACGACGCAGGCCGAAACGGCGCAAGGCCAAAACGGCGCACGGCCCAAAACGGCACAAACCCTAAACTCCACAGTGATAGTGATTAATCGTGTTATCATCATGTGATCAACTGTGAGATTGATTAATTGATCTCTATGATCAACCTATTTGTGATCGATCTGACCTTAGTGATCGATCATTAGCCACCTTGCGTACACTGACTTCGAATTATTTAAAATCTGCAATAAGGTTTTGCGCATTAAGGGAAAATTGTTCCAACAATGTGGAAGATCGTTTCATCATTGAGAAAAGTTGTTCCAGCAGCGGTGAAATGTTCCGACATCAACGACCAGAATAAAAATAACCAATTCTAGATGGTTACAGTAATAATACAGTAATAATATACTTTTGACCAGCACTGTAGTAGTTATAGGGGGAACTAGCTAGTAATATATGTAGTTATAGGGGAAACTAACTAGTAATATAGTTATATTGGAACTATCTGAATCCCGCAGTTATTTCTCGCAGTTATACTTACTAGTAAGTATACGATCTAAATAGTTTTGTTATCACTCTTAATTTTTGTTATCACTCTGTTATCACAAGATGTTGTCCAAATGCGACCTTTACATCTGCTATTTTTTGTTCACATCACCAAAAGATACGATCACCATTCGAGCTAAACCTCACTCAACAATATGTAGCTTATAGGAAATTTTTGCGCCGTTTTGGGCCGTGCGCCGTTTTGGCCTTGCGCCGTTTCGGCCTGCGTCGTTTCGGTCGCGCCGTTTCGGTCGCGCCGTTTTGGCCCGCGCCGTTTTGGGCGTGTCCCGTTTAAAATCGTTACTTTTCAGTCGAGACTTAACTATCCATAAAAATATTTCATTTTTATTGGAAACATCCAAACAAAAAACAATTTATGTTTAAGTAAATGTTTATTAGAGTCTGGCAACAAGATGACAAGAAAATTTATTTACTTTAAATGCTAGACTCTAATGGTAATTTTGGAAAAACTCGGAAATGGGAAAAGAAAATTGACAGGCAGGTGCCGAACCCGAACCGAGAAAGGCCCTGAATTCCTAATTTCGACCTCATCCCGACACATCCAAAAAAGCCATGAAACAGGACCGGATCCCCAGATTCTGTTGCTAAATTCAGTTTTTTAGGGTTAGAAAGAATTAGTAATTTTTACGTTTATCGTTAAAATATTTTTTTTGTAATTTTTAGGACAAAAATTATTTAAATTTCTTCATTTTTATTTTCTAAAAATTTCAATAATTAATTAAATTCAATACAAAAAATGCCTCTACAAATGAATGTCAAGGAAAAACAAAAAGTTTGGTTTCGCGAAGCGCGACATATTGAAGAAATAAAAGGAGCATTTTTGGAGTCTTTAAAGAACAAGGATGACTGGTTTTTTTTAAATTTATTTTCTTTTTATAATTTTTTTAAAGGCGTAAAATACGCGAAAGGATGAAAACTGTTTCTGTTGCTTTAGTTCTTTGTTTAAATGTTGGTGTTGATCCGCCTGACATTAAAAAACCTTTGCGGTGTGCTAGAAAGGAAGCTTGGGTTGATCCAAGTACTTCTAACCCGCAACGTTCTTCACAAAAAATTGGGCAAAGTTTACAAAAAATTTATGAGAAATTGCAGCCGAGAGCTCGTTATAAATCTGCAATTGACCCGACAGGTTTTTTTTGAAAAAGGTAAAAATTATTCTTATTTCTTTAGTCGATTGTGTCCGTAAACTCTGTACAAGTATGAGAAGAAATGCTAAAGATGAGAGGGTGCTTTTTCATTTTAATGGACATGGGGTGCCGAAACCTTCAGATGCTGGCGAGATTTGGGTTTTTGACAAAAATATAACACAGGTTTTTTATTTTTTGTTAATTAAATTAAAAATATTTTTAGTATATTCCTCTCTCATTATATGATCTCCAATCATGGATGGGCGTTCCTTCTGTTTACTTATGGGATTGTAATTCAGCCGGCACAATTCTTAGAATGTTTATGCAATTTGCTGATGATCATTCGATTAAGTATAAATTTATTTTTTTATTTCTGAGTGAGAAAGAAATTATTTTTCGTTTTATAATGACATTTTGTCCCACTCAAAGATTAAAAAAAATTTTAGATGGATGGAAGATTATCAAGCAATGCGAGATAGAGATAGATTAGCTCAACAACAGCAACACTACAATTCGCCTGGCCCATCAATTGACCAAATTAACGACTCAAATAATTTTTACGGGAGTAATGGAAATGATGTTGCTTCTAGTGGAGCTTCAACAAGTAGCCATTCTGTCCAAACATTTAAGGTATTTTTCTTTAGTTTTTTTTTATTTTTACTTCTCTTAACATAAGATGGGAATTTTTGAAAATTTTGTTCATTTATCTATTTCTAATTTTCTTTTTGTATTTTTCTTGCTCTGAAAACGGAAAATTCTATTTTTGTATATTTACTAATATTTTTTCATTTTTTCCAGAATTGTATCCAGTTGGGTGCCTGTTCTGTTGGTGAAACACTTCCTTTCCATTGTGCTGATTTACCAGCAGATTTATTTACTTGTTGCTTAATTACTCCAATACAAACTTCACTTCTCTGTCATATGCTCAAATTAGGTGTTAAATCACGATTTCCTCAAAATATAATTGATGACATTCCTGGCGTTTTAACTGATAGAAGAACACTTCTTGGTGAATTAAATTGGATATTTACAGCAATAACTGATACAATTGCTTGGAGTTGTTTAAGTCGAGATACTTTTCAAAAGCTTTTTAGACAGGTTTATTTTACATTTATTCTTAAAATTGTCTTTTTTTTTGACAGGATTTACTTATTGCTTCATTATTTCGAAGTTTTTTGCTTGCTCAAAGAATAATGTTAGAAAATGGTTGTCATGTAGTCTCAACTCCAGAACTTCCATCTGTTCATGCCCACCCTTTATGGGAATATTGGGATTATGTTTTGGATTTATGTATTGCAAATATGTACAATCTACTTCAATCAAAGGAGAGTATTATGTATTTTACTAGAACTGATTGTTATGTTGGCACTCCATCACTTAAACCTATTTGTTTGTATTTTTTTAATTTTTAAATTTTATTAAAAATTTTCTAGTTCTTATTGAACTCCCTCAAAGTGCTATAACTGAATCTGAATATGCCTACAGTTGGTTTTTTATTGAACAGCTCCAAGCCTTCGAAGTTTGGTTGAAGTTTTCTGTAGATAAAAATGAGCCTCCTCAACAACTTCCTGTTGTCCTTCAAGTTCTTCTTAGCCAAGTGATTTTTCTCTGTTTATTTTGAAAAAATGTTTAATTTAAATTTATAGATTCATCGTGTTCGAGCACTCGAACTTTTGGCTCGTTTCGTTGACCTTGGTCCCTGGGCTGTTGTTTCTGTACTTACTGTTGGAATTTTTCCCTATGTGCTAAAACTTTTGCAGTGTGGTACAAGAGAATTACGTCCAGCTTTAACTTTCATTTGGGCAAAAATATTAGCAATTGATCCAATCTGCCAACACGATCTTGTCAAAGATAATGGGTATTTTATTTTTATTTAATTAAATTTATTTTATATTTTAGTTATTATTATTTTCTTCAAGTACTCAATGATCAGTCAATGTCTCCGCGTATGAAAATTGTTTCTGCTTTTGTGATGGCTACAATAATTTGCAATAACTATAGGTATTTTTTCTGTCATTTATTATTTTTTAAAATATTTGGGCGATCGTTAAAATTTATTTCTTATCAAAATTTCATTAAACATTTATAGGCCTGCTCAAGATAAATTAGTTCAGAGTGACTATGTCAGCCTTTGTATTGAATTATTATCGAATCAACAAGTTACTCAATGTAGAATGCTCTGTTTATGGCTACTTATTGGACTAGGTCGTCTTTGGTCAGAATGTGACAAGGCTAGATGGCAAGCTATTCGAAATGTTGCTTATGATAAAGTATAGTTTTCTTTTAATTTTTAAAATTTGAATTTTATTGTAGTGGAAGTATATAAAGTTTTTTATTAGGCTGTTGATTTCCTAAGTGATGAAGTACCAGAAGTTAGAGCAGCAGCTGTATATGCTCTAGGTTGCTTCGTTCATAATACTTCACGAAATAATGAACATGCAACAGCGGTATATTTTTGTTTATGTTTTAATGAAAATTTTTTAATTTTTCAAGGTCGAAAATGAAGTATGTGACAAACTTTGCGAAAATTGTATTTATGATGGTTCTATAATTGTACGTGCAGAATTGGCATCAGCAATTCAATGGTTTGTTATTGATTTTCAATCTCGTTTTGCTGCAATTTGTATTGAATTGGATCGAAAAAATGAACATTTACTCCCTGAACAAAATTCCGAACTAGAAAGACCAATAATTAGCGGGTCAAAAATGCGTATTGGAAATGGAACGGTGCATGCAGGAATGGAATCACAATTGGTATGTTTGAAAATTTGAGATTTTTTTTTGTATTTTAAAATTATTTTTTTAGCATAAAGCCTTAGCTTCTGTGGACTTTACTGGTAAAAAACAAAGTTTAACAAATAGTGTTGCTGAGAGCAGTTTACCGAAAAGGAGTATGAGTAGTGTTTATTCAATTATTCCTCGATCGGCCTCTCTTCTTTGTTTGTTTTTATTTTTTATTTCAAATTTTTTTAAAAATGATTTAAGATCCTGCCAGCCGTCAAAGCACTAATTCTAGTCGTAAATGTAGTCTTTTACCTCGATCTGATTGCCCAACGTCATCTAGTCTTCATATTGATTCTCAAAGCGCTTTCAAGTATGATTTAAAATATTTTTATATTTTTTGGTGTTAGAAAGTTGTTAACCCACAACATCTCTGATATAAATATTAAAATCTTAATTTTTTCAATATTATTCTTTTTAAAAGATATCGAATTCTTGCTCATATTCGTACTCTTGAAGCCAAGGCATTCATTGGTCCATTTGAACGAATTTGGCTTTGTGTATTGCGTTTGGGCCTCGATCCATTTGAGGATGTTAGTAAAATGGGTGAACGTATTATTACCTACATATTTGAACTTTCAACAAAAATCAAAGAGGCTCGTACAAAAGTTTTGGAATTTAAACAGCAAAAAGTTCATAAACATATGTCTGCTTCTTTGGGGGAAGGAAGAACTGTTTCTGGAAGAAGACATGACAGTGGGCAATCAAAATCAATTAGCGATGTTGGTTATAATGATGGAAATAATGAATATAATAATAATGATACTTTACATTCTAATCCATCGGTATTCTAATTTTACTTGGTATTCTAGCTTACTTTATTTTTTCAGGTTAAATTTCTTGTTGGTTCCCCTTCAGCGCAGCCATCGACTAGTTCAAACTATGACAACAATGTCCTGACCGTAGACACGGGTAATACATCTACAATTAAAGAAGAGGAAAATGGAGGTGAAATTTCACCGGAACTAGCCCCTACAAGCAACGGGAGCAGTGCCAGAACAACAAATTCTATGACTGACTCAATGGTTTCTGAAAATAAAAAACAAGAATTACTATCTCCTCCTTCGACATCACTTAGACAATCTCCTCAAACTATGGACAATGCTAAGCGAAGATTATTGATGGATCCCTTTATTCATCATAGTTTATACACACCAAAGCGAAGTGTACGTTAAAATTGACAACCTTTCCTAATAATTTATATTATTTTTCAGATTTTTGGTACAAAGTCTGGTGCTTATTCTCAAGTTAATAATGACATAAGCGATGCATTACTTGCTGAGCAAGCTTCAACAATTGCAGCTGAAGGACTTGTAAGGACATCTTTTGTCGATTGGTGTGCCAAAACATGGACAGGTTTTAATTTCTTTCTAAAAATTTATTTAATTAATTTTTAGAACCACTTTATGGAACTATTTATGATGATAGTTCAACTTCGACTCGTAATTCACTTGTAAACAGTGAAATGCCTTTTACAGTTGAGCAACCTACTGACTGGGCAATACATATACACGATGGAATTTGGCAAAAATCAAAAAAAGAAATGGAACTTATAAAAGATAAAAAGGCCCGATGTGAAGTACAGTGTATGAAATTGAAATTTGATCAACCAGCTACAAGTCTAGCTTGGAGTCTTTTAAGGCCTTATGTTTATATAAGCGATGGGGGAAGAGTTCGTATTTATAGGTATAATCAAAAGTGTTTCTATAAAAAATTTCAAATCAAGTTATCCTACCGGCGATACTCTACTTCAACAACAATCTTCTGCCTCTCAACAACAGCCAGCGCCACCTCCTCCCAGCAAACTTTGTAGTGAATGGCAAGTAGACTGTGAGGCATTTTTGTTAGATTCTATTACCGATTTAATGGTTGTTAATGGTTTAACTCATGAATTATTGATGACTGGTTCAAGAAATGGATTGCTTAAGGTATTTTTTATTTTTATTAGTGATGTAAATGTCTAGATTTTTTCTCGTTGAGAAGTCTAGTAACTTTTCCTTGTTAGATCCTTCATTTTTTATTACTTATTTTAAATTTAAGATTTGGGATCCACAATTCTGTGAGCATTCATATTCTCTTAAAGGGCAGACAAAGTTAATTACTGCCACATATTTGTTGAATGACATGCCACGGTTGGGTAAAGGAAATAAAACACTTTATCAGTATGCCATTATTTAGAATATTTAAATTGAATTTAAAAATATTTGTTAGTTGGGATCAAGACAAAGGGCGTCTTATTTGCTCTGGAAATGTAAGAATTTGTCGAATTTGGGATGCTTGGGCAGAAAAGTCTATTTTTGACGTTTCATTACGCCATGGAAAAGGAAGTGTTGTAAATATTGCTTCTGATTTGAGTTGTGATCTTGTTGGATGTGGTTTGTTTATTTTCTTCAATATTTTAACGTTGTAAAAAATATTTAATTTTTAGGGTTTTCTGATGGTACATTGGCAGTATTTGATACTCGTCTACCTTCCAATGAATGTGAAATTATGAGGTTGAGAGATTCAAATGCTCCCGTTGTTGGGATGGGAATCTTACGAGAACGTCAAAGACTTTTAGTTGGAACTAGAGATGGACTTATACGTTTATGGGAGCCAAGAATGTTTCAAGTAATTTTTTATTCATATTTTAGTAATATCATTTTATTAATTATTTTGAGGAACCTGTTGCTGAATTTAATGTTGTCACAGAAGTTTTTCAAAATAGTTCATCAGTAAGTGACAATTCAAAGCTTCTTCATCAAATGGAAGTACAAAGAAATGCTCAGGTATTTAAATGTTATATTTTTGTTTTGAACGTTGGAATCGATTTTTAAATTAATTAGAAATATTTTTGATAATCAAATATGATAGACTGGAATTTGTTTTTTAAAGAATGAGTAACCAAATCAATTCTTTCTTATTTGTTAAAGAAATATAGAGAAATTTAAGTATGTCCAGCTATAGCTCAGTTGGTAGAGCGTGGGACTGTAGTTGTTAGCTGTCATCCTGATGTCGCTGGTTCGAATCCGGCTAGCTGGAATTCTTTTTAAATTTAATAATTTTAATGAAAAAAATTTTTCCATAAATATTTTTAATTAAAAAAAGGTTAAAAAATATTTTTAATTTAATAAAGTTACTGAAAATTTTAATTTTGAGTTTTTTCTCTTTAAATACTTCAATTTCTCAGTTAGTAGCTTGTGCAATGGCAGACTCGTCTGTCTATATTTTTGATATTGCCGGTCGTGGTGGTGTTTTATCCAAAATTCGTTATCCATCATCAACAGGCGGAGGTGCCAGTTCTTATTTTCATTCACCGTCATCTGCAATTGGTGGACTTTCTTCGTTATTTTTAAAACATACAAGAAGGAGAAGTAGTAGTGGTGGAAGTAGTGCTGATGGAACTACGTTAATATTTTTATTAAATAATTTATTTCTTTTTTTTTACTTTTAAGTTCTCAAAATACAACAAATATGCTTTCTCCTGGCCGTACTTCAAATAATAAACTTTTACAAAATCAACAAACACAAATTCAACCAATTCCTGCAGCAATGCGTTTCCATCAATATCGTGTACTTCTTGGTGTAGCAACAGTTGAGGGCCAATTCCGAGCATTTTCTATGCCAAATGTGGATTCATCAAGTAAATAGGCAATAATTAAAGAATTATTAGTTAGGGACGAAAATTGAATTTTTTCAAATTTTTATGGTACTATGTGCCTTGTATATACATTTTTGGTGTGTCTTTTTTAATGCTTCCTCATTCCTTTATGCTGCCCGATATATAAATATATATTTATAGAATTTTATTATTTGACAGAAGAATTTGAGAAATAACTTGAAAATTTTATTCTTTTTCAAGTCTAAAATTTTTATTTTTTAAATATTTTAATTGTTTGTCACAAAATATTTTTTATTTTTAGTCTTCAGAATTCTTTTCATTTTCACACCTTTTACTTATTCTGTTAAAAATCTCTTTTTTGTCTAGTAGAGATTGAAAAAATTGTTATAAATTGAAAAGATTTTAATTTTTTTGAAGTGGCTTAATTTTTATTTAACCTGGACACTTAAAATTAATTAAAATCTCAGAATTTTAAATTAATTTCAATCTCTCCTAAATTTACATTAAAATAAATTATAAATAGAAAATTATCCAGCTATTATTCTCTTCTTATTTATTTAACAAATCTCGACTAAAAAATTTTTTGTTTTGCGCCTTCTCACAAATTAATTATTTATATTTTAATATAAACTCTCTTGACTCATTTTACTTATATTTTAAATATATTTTTATTAAAAAAAAAGCCATTAAATATTCGGTGAATTCACTCGCTTATTTATTTTTAAAATTTTTTCCTTACAAAATAACACATCATGATTTTTGAAATATTCAAATCAGATTTATTAATTAATTGAGGAGTGTCCTCTCAAACTTTTAACAACCTTTCTCGATTTGTTTATTTCTTGTTAGTTGCAATTTTTATTTTTTAATCTTTTTAATTTCTTTAAAAGGGCTCGGCATGGTTCCTGTATTTTTGGACATTCGGTCCCATTATTAAGTGAATTAATTTTAAATAACTCTAAAGGATTTTTAAATTAGGCTAAAAAATTACATTTTTTGTCTGCTTATTTCTTAAATAAAATTTTATTTATATTTTAATTCTTGAAAACGAAAATTAAAATTTACCGAAATCTTTTAAATAATTATTTAATTTTATTACATATTATTATTTTTTAATCGCCTCTTAAGATTCTTTGCACTGCGAACGAAGAAATTATTTTTTTTAGTGTGAAAATTGAATAAAATATTTTCTTTTTTAATTTTATTTTGTTTTAAAAAATTTCTTTTTTTTAAATTTTATATTTAAATATTTTATTTAATTTTTTAAAATTATATTTTTTGAAAATGTCCATTTTTAATCAAAACTTTCGAATTATATTTCAATCAAAATATCAGAGAAGGTAATTAAATTAAACTTAAAATAATTATCTATTTTTATTTTTAAAAAGATTATTTTGTTCAATTTCAACATTAAATAAAATAAATTCAAATTTATTTTCAACAACTTCCACAGAAATTAAATTAGAAGAAAATTCAGTCAATGTTTCCACTCAAACTGTTGGTAAAGGTCTAAGGGTAGCGATTATTGGATGTTCAAATGTTGGAAAGTCTGCTTTAACGGTAAAATATTTTTTTAATTCAAAAATTATTTGGGAAAATATCTTTAAAAAACCGATAATCTAAAAATTTTATTTCTCAGAATGCTCTTATTCGCTCCCCTATTTGTGCTGTTAGTAAATTGGTTGATACAACTAGAGCGGTTTTTTTTGATTTTTTAAAAATATTTTTAATTTTTAAAACAATAGAATACAACAGCAGCACTAACTGAAAATCAATGTCAATTAATTATTGTTGATAGTCCTGGTAAATTTTTAAATAAAAAAATTAAAGGGAGGATTTTTAACTAAAATTATTATTAAGGTTAATTGAAAGGAAATTAGCCTCTTACCGTTCAAAATATATTTAAATTAAAATTTAAAGGTTTGGTTAGTTTAAGTCACGCAAAAGAAGTAATTGGCACCCATTCAGACGATCGAATTTTAACACATCCAGAAAAGGCAATTGAAAGGGCTGAGCAAATAATTGTTGTTCATGTAAGGGAAAAAAGATTTTTAATTAATTTTAAAAAAATTAAAGGATGCAACAGCTAAAGGTCAATATTTACAACACAGAATTCTTTACATTCTTCAACGTTATATGCACATCCCTGCTTGTTTAGTTATTAATAAAATTGATTTAATTGAAAGCCGTGCTGATTTACTTAAATTGACTGAAATTTTAACTGATGGAACTGTTGGGGGAGAAAAACTTGAGAAAAAACCTGTAAATTTATTAAAAATTTTTTTAGTAGAGATTAAGTTAGGGTTTTGGTTGGGTTTTCATAAAGGTCACTTATGAGGACAATTGAGGGTTTTGAGTTAATAAATTAATGTCATTTTAGGTTTCCATTTAAATTTTGACGGCATTATTACTTTAAAATAGGCCCCCCTCGGGTTTAGGGGTTCCCCTTGGGTAAAGCCTTCGGGGTTCGGGTCGGGGTTTTTGCCAAAAAAGAGTCGCGGTTTCAGAGAACGGGGTGCTACCCTACTTTAAAATACCCGGGTTTTTAATATTTAAGAAGAATTTTTTTAGATTAGTCTAGGCATTGTTGGTTCAATAATTTCAAAAGCCAAAAAATCTAAAGGATCTGACAATAATGATTCTCTCAGTCTTCATCCACTAACAACAAAAGAACGTGATTCTAATTGGTATTCTCTCTACAATAAATTACTACATAAACCTTTACATAAAGCTAGGTAATTTTTAAATTTAAAATTTAAAGCCGTCTTAATTCATTTTTTAGTTGGTCAGATACAAAAAAATTATTTAAAGAACAAAATGGCTGGCCACATTTTAAGGCAGTTTTCTTTACTAGTGCTCAAACAAATGAAGGAATAGATATATTAAGAGAATATTTGAGAGAAAATTCTGTTGATAAACAATGGAGTTTTGCCCCACAAACTGTTAGCAAAAAGAATTCTCGTTTACTTTGTGCTGAATATGTCCGTTCTGCTTTATTAAATAATTGCCCTCCTCATGTAGCTTATAAACTTCGAGTATCAATTACTGAGTGGGAATTTGATGAAGACCTTCCTGTAAATGAACAAATGCTTAAAGTTGCTGCAAATATTTTCTGTAAGTTTTTTTTTATTTTTTCCTTGAAAAATTGAAATTTATGCTAAAGCTGGCCTTATGACTAGACAATCATATAGAATTGGGATTAGAGATCGAGATTTTTGAAAAGCCTGGACCTGTTCCTGGACTCAGGAGTTTGATTTATTGACCTGATTCTGGGTCTATAGTCCAGGAAAAAAAGGAAAGGAAGGAAGGCCAAAAAATGCCTGGACCTGGACTCTAGGTACAGGAAAAACCCAGGCTTTGGTCCAGGTCTAGCTCGATCTCTAATTGGGAGATATGAGGATTTTATTATTTATTAAACTTCAAAAATCTAAAAGGACATATTCCTTATTTTTCATTTTAAGGTGAAAATGAACGTGAAGCTCGACAAGTTTGGTATCGAATGGAGGAAATTGAGAATGCAGTTCTTCAACAATTACAACAAGTATTTTGTCAGAATGTCATTTTCCGCTTATTTATTAGAGTTAAAGACCGTTCAGGTATTTATCAACCTGATGAAAAAGCGGAGGAAAAAAAGAAAATAATGAAAACTGAAGAGAGAAGAAAATAAATGTAGAAAATAAAAAAAATCTGTAAACGCTCTAATTGAAGCTCATTTTAAGAAAAAATGAATGATTATAAACACCTACTCTCTAATATAAGTCCGCTCAGAGACATTAAAAATAGAAGTCCAGGGTTTCAATTAGAACATTTATGGATGCAACGGATACGGGTAGTTTAGTAATTCTAGTGTCTTTTCATTTTTTATCACTTGGTCATTCTTTTGGGAAAGGCCTAGAAAAAGATTTTGACTAAATTTCTAAACAACTTACTAAATATTTTTGGATTTTTTTGTTGAAATTTCGATTAATAAAAACTAAATTTAATGTCTTTTAATTGAAGGTTATACTTTTTAATATTAGAATTTAACTAAACCGAATCTTTAAATACGACTAGTTTAGCCGTTTCGAAAGGAACCTTTTGCTTGTTTCAATAATTTCCTAATGTTGGAATTGAGAAACTGAAGGAATTCCGAGCTTCGTAAATAATAATACATTTAAGATTTTAATAAAAATATTTTTTAAAGAAAATGTGGATATTATTTAACAATAATAGAATTGCATAACATTTATATACTTAAGAGCCCTGAAATAAATACTAATAATAAAAAGAACCACAGAGTTTTAGTTAACGAATAAAAACCCTGTGGTGATTAGAAGGCAAAAACCAAAAAATTTAAAAAGGAGATTAAAAACAGAAAACGAGGAAATTAATTCTTAACCAAAATAAAATTACCAATTAAAGTTCACTCTTCTTTTTGTCATCTTTCTTTGTCTCTTCCTTCTTTTCTTTTTCAGCCAAAACATCCAAATCTTCCAATTCAACATCAGAAAGGTCAATTTCTTCTTCAGCATCAATACCGGGTAATTCTCCATCCTTTCCATCCCAGGGCTCAACCACTTCAACATCGGCATTTTTACCACCGGGAACTGAAGATGTTTTTCCCTTTCCATAGGAAAGATCACGCAAAAATTCAGCTATTCCAGTTTTTCCGAATGAGCCTTTAAAAATTACGAACTATTATTGTATTCTAAAACGAAAGGAAGTTCCCCTACAGAGAGATTCTAAAAATCTCTCCTATCAAAAAGTTGCCCAGAAAAACACAAAAATTAAAAACAAACCAGTCAAAGTGCTGTATTTAAGCTTTCGCGAATTCAAAGCCACCATTGCTGGGTAACCAAAACCTCCAATTCCAAAAGATTGTTCAATTCCGGGTTGTTGACCAGCTTCTGTCCAGAGCCAGCCCCAGTGACTTTTCTTGAACTTTTCTGCCAATTCGCGTAAAAGGGACAGGTAACCGTTCCGGCATTCTGACTGGCAATCCAAAATGTGTGGAAGGAAAGTAATTATACAGCTAAAAGAATAAAACAAATTAGCGATTAAAAATTAGAGGAAATCAATTAAAATTAGGGAAATAAATTTAAAAAAACAAACAGTTGCATATCCTGACAGGCAGCCTCAAAAGTCTCCGAATTAACAATTTGTTTCAGTTCAGGTGGAGGCAAGTGTTCAGCAACACGATCATTTGCCCATTGAACAATATCGCTTCTAAATTTAAAAAAAAAATTTAAAAAAAAAAGAAAAAATAAAATACGTCGTTCGACCGCCATCATAATCAAGAGCATCACTGAAAGATTTTCCGCCAGCAGGGAAGAATTTAATTGTAGGAAAACCACGAACTTCGAAACGGTTGGCAATCACTGTATGGACAGTGGCATCTAGAGCGCCCATCTATTTACAAAAAAAAATATTTTTAAAAAGTTTAAATTAAACAATAACCTTCATTTTCCCTTTTAATTCAGAAGCAGCAGCGCGCCAATGAGGCTCGAGGTTCTTTAAAAAATAATTTATTTAAAGATCAAGATAACATTATTCTAGAAATAAATTCACTTAGCAGTTCCAGGCCCGTAGTCAGGGGGAACTCCCCTTGGTTTTCCGGGGGGGGGGGGGGGTGAGTGGAGGAAGACCCCCCTTGGATCCTCCCTAAAAATACTGGCTACCGGCCTGGACAGATTTAAAAAAGGAAAACAGTAAAAACTCTATTTCCCTTTTTGTATTTTATCAGTAAAGGAAAATTCAGAATTTGAAAAGGCAGCTCAATCAGAAATAAACTAACAAAAAACCTTGCAGTGCCCGCACCAAGGAGCAAAGAATTCAACCATCCACGGATCTTTACTGTTTATAACAAGTTCCTTAAATCAAAAATTATTTTTAAAAAATTAAAAACAAAAAATACTTCAAAGTTTGCATCAGTTAATTCAATAACAGCATTAGAAGCACCTCCGCTCTTTGAAGATTTTTGATTATAATTGCTGCCACCACCAGAGAGACGAACAGAAATGACACGTTTGATTTCACCAACAGCAGAATCAGTTATTGCTGATGCAGTTCTCTGTCCGTTGTAGTCACTGGGCCTCTGAAAATGAATAAAATTGATAAAAGAAGCAAACAAAAATTTTTTTTGATTCGTGAGTGGTACAAAGATTTTCGAAATAATATACGTCCCAAATTTGAAAATAAAAACCAACCTGTTTGTTTTCGCCAAAGATTTTAATTGTTGGAAAGCCTTGGACGTTGTATGGAGCTCCTAACGATTCATGCTAAAAAAAGAAGGAAAAGAAAGTTAATGGATTCAACTTCAAAGAAAGTTAATGGATTCACAAAAAATAAATTTCTAAACCTAGATTCGATTAATTTTCAGATTTTTATTTATTCATTTAGTCCAAATTCGTAACGAAATTTTAAAATTAAAACTAAATTAAAATTCCCAAACCTGTGTCATATCAACAGCGCCAACTTTAACAATCCCTTTTAATGCCTTAGCCACTTTTTTGTATTCAGGTTCGAGCCTCTACAAATTACAAATAAATTTTAAAAATATTTAGTCAAAAAAACCTGACAATGTCCACACCAAGGTGCATAAAATTCAACAATCCAAATCTAAAGAAAATTTATTTTTTAAAAATTATTTTAAAAAACTAACCGCATCATCGTCCAAAACAAGTTTATGAAAATTCCCGGCAGTTAATTCAACAACATCATCAGCACTGTTATAATTGGCAAAAGATTTGTAGACAAAAATAAAGAAAATAAATAATAATAAATTCATTTTTACTTTAATTTTTGAAAATAAAATGAAATTTAAATAAATTTTAGAAAAATAAAAAAAAATAAAAATATTTGCTTCAATTTTATGTCGTGGAAATAAACTATTGGTTAATTTTATTTTTGTGATAATTCGAATTATTATATTAATTTTTGTTTCGTTTATTCTAAATTATTTTTTGCCAACATTTAAATGGACAATCTTTCAAAATACTACAAAATCCTAGAATTTGTTAGAATCCTGTAGGGAATTATTTCCTTCGGATGTTGTCTATACTCTAATTCCCCCTTTACTTTTGGCTACCCTACAAAACATATTTTTTTAAAACAGCAAACGCTCAAAACATCTAGACGGCTAGAAAGGCTCAAAATATATTCGCTCAAAACATCAAACGCTCAAAACATCTAGACGGCTAAAAAGGCTCAAAATATCAAAATATTTTTTGATTAAAAGGGACAGTTGAGTCCCTTATTTCTTCCTTGTATCAGGGGTGAATAATGTAGTATCTCAGGACCAATTTTGCATGAACTCGACGTGTTGAGAAAGGGCTCGACGAGCTGAGTCTAATAACACAAAAATCAGCTCGATTGGATGATTTTTGACAAAGTTATGACCAACAGAATCTTCGCTGGAAAAACATTTTTTGTGCTGCTACGTAGGGTAGGCCGGGCATGGTCTTCGCTACACGATGGCCGTGCTTCGCTGCGGTCGTGCTCGCTTCGCTCGCGGCGACCGTAGCGAAACGGCGGCCGTCGTTCCGCTCGACATGCCCGGCTTCCTCCGCAGCGGCAAAAACACTTTTCCGCGGACTCAACTGTCCCCTTTAAATAGAAAAATATATTTTGATATTTTGAGCGTTTGATGTTTTGAGCGAATATATTTTGAGCCTTTTTAGTCGTCTAGATGTTTTGAGCGTTTTTATCTGTCTAGATATTTTGAGCGTTTTTAGTCGTCTAGATATTTTAAGTGTTTGATGTTTTGAGCGGGCACGTTACTTTTATTTTGTTTTTCACTCTAGCCTACACTCTCTCATTTGATAATTTCAAAATAATAAAATTTCAAAATATCTAAAGCCTGAAAAAATGCTTTTTGCCACATCTTGAGGAACGACTATTCGTCCGTCGAGTCCCGTCGGTTGAGTCCAGACTTGACATTAGAATTTATCAGTTAAAAGCTCTTGATAAGCGAAAGCTTTTTGTCCTATTGAGGTGCCCAACTAGATTATTCTAAAATCCTTTGTCTACCCAACTCCGATCCTCAATTAGAGGTTTTAGTCAGCTGTTTTAATAGTTGTTCTGATTTGTCCATTTATTTTTAAGTGATGATCGGGTTTTATAAACCATGTAATTGTCATTCCAAGAGCTTTTGAATTTTGCTCGAGTTATGGCTTGATACTCAAAGGGCTCAACTTTAATTAAAATTCTAAAATCCTTTGTCTACTTTTCCTTTCTTTTTCAACCCCTTTTGCTAATGTTTTTTTTCTATCAATTGGGTATACTTTCTTTGTTTCTTCCAAATTTGGTTGTGTCTTCGTATAATCCAAAAGCTTGGAATTTTTTTTTCATATTTTTTCACTAAATTTTAAACATCGATTTTTTACTTCTAGGAAGCTATTTTAAACTTTTTTTAAACAAACAAAAAAATTTTTAAATAAAAAAATGGATAACAATCAAAAATCAAGCCCCCCAAATCTCCAAATATTACCCCCTCCTCCTCCAATTCCATCATTAACTTCCCTCATTTCTTCATTTCCCTCAACTCCACGTTCACCATCAACTAATAATTCTAATATTCAAACACCAACCTCTAGCACAAATTATTATTTTACTTCATTAGTTTCTCCAATACATCAACGTTTTATTGGTATTTTTTTAAAAATCTTTTTAGACAATTGAGGGGCCTTTTTTGATTTTTATTTGTGCTGGTGGTTGGTTTTTCTTTGATAAATGGACTTCTTTTTTAATCACAAAAAATGAAGATTTTTTGCTCTTTTTCATTTGTTTATTTAATTTTTGCATTTTTTATCGCTTTTTTATAATTTTTTTCTTTTTAACTAATTCTGTGTTTATTTGTCCAAAAATTTTTTTTTCAATTTGTGTTCTAATTCTTTAATTTTTTAAATTAAATTTTTATCAAAAATTTTTAGGTTTTGAAAGAAAAGTAAAAAACTGGCGATTATTTCGACATATTTCAACAACAAAAAGCAGTCAACGGTCAACTTCTTGTGATCCATCAGAAAAACAATTAAAGCCTAAAGAAGGATTAAATAAAAATTGTCAAAAAAATAAAAATTCTGGAAGTCTTACTTGCCCAATTTCAAGAAAACATTTGTACAGTAAGTTTATATATTTTAATTTCTGAGGAGCAGGCTAACTTAATGCGAGCACAACTTACCGCAGAGCTATAACTTCATTCAGATTGGTCGAATCCGCGACGCTCTGGTATGGTTCGATGCGCCTCGACGAGGTGAATCGAACCATACCAGGGCCATTTTTAACCGAACCATATCAACCATTTTAAACGAAGTTATAGCTCTGCGGTAAGTTGGGGGTGTACCCTAATTTTTGGGACTGATATTTGTTTAGAGTTTTTTTTTGTATAGGTTCTTTTACTATTTGGATTTTTATTAATCTCAGGAAAATTTTTATCGTCGATTAAAAATAATTTTTTCAAAGTTAGCCCGCATCATTTTATTGATTTTTTAATTTTTTCTTGTAATATATCGGCCATATCAATACACCTTCGATCTATATTAAAAATTAATTTAAAAATTGAATTTATTTAAATAATTTAAAAGTGAATCTTTCTGGCCCTTCACGTCCTCGTCCAACATTGGATGCTGTCTCGACTTCTAGTGATAAAAGTATTAGTCCAGAAGAGGTTTTTCTAAATTTTTTGTTTATTTAATTAAAATTTATTTTTAGGTTCAAAGTCGCTTTAAAATAATTGAGGAAAATTCGGGAACTTTAAATTTTGGTAATAAAATATTTACTGGAGTTAAATATGAGGATTTGGAACGTCAAGATCAGGTTTTTTAATTTCAATAAAATTTAGACCGATTTTATTTTTAGAGTTCTCTTGGTGAAGGTACAAGTGGAAGCGTCAGCAAATATAAATTTAAAAGTAGAGCAATTGCTGTTAAGGTCTGTTAGAAATATTTTTTAATTTGTAATATTCTTAAACCTAAAAAATCCTAAAATAAATTTGTGTTCCTTTCAACTTCATTTGGCTTTAATTAAAAATTATTTAATTTTAGCATATGAAGCGGACAGATTCTTTCGATGATTCCAAAAGAATATTTATGGATTTGGAAGTAATATCAAAATGTGGGGATTGCCCTTTTATTGTAAAATATTTTGGATATATTCTAACTTTTGTAAGTTTATTTTTTGTGAAAATACTGATTAAAGTTATTTTACTCATGAAATTTTATCATACTTTTAATTTTCCCCATTGCTAAAATTCGTTTGGGTTTTCTAATTTTATATCCCGTTTCAGGGCCGTAACCAGGAGGGGAGAGGGAATTTTAAAAATCAAACGCCGAAAATTCGTATTTCATTCTGCGTTCATTTATTTTTGAATATTTATTTTAATAATTTTTACAATGTAAATAATTAAAAATATTTTTAAAAAGGATTACCTATATATTTGTATGGAAGTTATGTCTACTTGCCTTGACAAACTTTTAACTAGTAGACAAAAATCTCGTCCACCTGATCAAGTTGGTCTTCCAGAAGGAATTATTTCTCAAATTGCTTTGAGTGTTGTTCGTGCTCTTGATTATTTGAAGGAAAAACATGTGAGGTTTTTTGAAAATAGATTTGGGGATTTTCCATTATTTCATTAAATTGTTGCGGTTTTAATTATTCGATGATTAAGGGCTAAAATTTTCAGATTTTTCTTTCCTTTCTAAATTTAATTTAAAATCTTTATGTTCCATTTTTTAAAGAAAATTATGCATCGGGATATCAAACCTTCTAATATTTTGATGGATTATTATGGTAATTTTAAACTTTGTGATTTTGGAATCTCAGGAAAATTAATTGAATCAAAAGGTTTTTAAATTTAAATTAAAAAAATTAAATTGAATTTAGCAATTACAAAAATTGGTTGTATGGGTTATTTATCACCTGAGAGAATTTATTCTGATGATCCTCATTATGATGTTCGTGCTGATGTTTGGTAAATAAATTTATGAAAACATTTTTGAATTTTTAACAAAAGAATTTGGATATGTCTTTAATTTTATAATTTTTTACGCAAATTTTTTACCCTAAACTTTTATTAAAATTATTTTAATTTTCCAAAAGGTCTCTTGGAATTACTCTTGTCGAACTTGCCACTGGAAAATTTCCTTATGAAAATAGAGAAGCTTTTAAACTTATGATTGAAATAAAAGAAAAAAATGCGCCTCGTTTAACTCCAGAAAAAGATGGACTTTCACCTGAATTTTGTGGGTTTATTGCTGATTGTCTTCAAAAGGATATGGAAATGAGACCAAAATTTCGTGAATTATTGGTATATTTTTGAAATTTTATTATAATTTTAAAAATATATTTTGGGAGAGTTCTTTTATTCAAAAAATCTGGAAAAATAATTTGATGAAGTCAGACACGTAGTTAAGGTTTCGGTCCGGGGGTAATTTTCAAAACGTTCATGTCAGATTTCGTGAATTTTGGAAGGCTGTTGGCTTCAGCTCGTTTAAATTCACCTCATTTTTAAATTCAAAAATTTGAATTTTTTTTTACAAGACCTTACTTTTTTTTAAAATTCTCAAATAAATTAAAAAATTTATTTTGCTTTATTCAAATAATTTAATATTATCAAATTTTTAAATTAAGGAGCGCCCATTACTTCAAAATGCAGCCACAACAAACTCAGATGTTAAGCTTTGGGTTGAAAACCCGACAGAATATGCTAGACTTTATGGGAGGAATTAAAGTTATTTCTTGTTTTTTAAATTCTTTTTTAGATTTTATTTATTAATTTTTAAGAAGAAAAAGAAATATTAATTTAAAATTCTTATTTCTAATATTTTTAAAGATTTTTAAATTTTTATTTTAATAAATTTAAAATCGGAAACTAACTTGCCTCTTTAAAATTTAATTAACAAATTTGCAATATAAACTATTAGTTGATATTTTTTCCAAGGCATTTTGGACTTTCCGATTTACTACTTTCAATTTCCAAAATTTAGGCTGATTTCCGGCACCTCCGACATTTCCGATCGACCCATGATGATTATTTTTTTTGTTTATTTTAAGATACACGCGGCCTAAAGAGGCTAAATTTTCTTCTAAACTATTCCTTGTCTGATTTAATATTTTTTGAAAAGCAATCAGGTGCGAGGCAAAAATAGATATGATAAAGAAACAAGATTTTGAAAAAATTAAGCTAAATATCATTGTCTGGTATAAAATTACTGCATATAACACTTTAAATCAAGCCTTTGGTTATTTATTATTCGATCTGATGTGCAATATTTACATGGTCGAAATAAACGCAAAGAGAATCCAAAATGAATTTTATTAGGAAACTTTTAAAAAGCTGAGGAATGTAGGAATTCTATTTATTTTAGGAAAATGCCTAATATGTATTACTATTAAAAAAGAAAGAACAAAAAGAAATCTAACAAAATTCTTTATTACAGTTAAATACAATACAGAAAATACAAATGTTTACAAAATAATTTGGACAGAGAAATATATCAACAAATATATCAATACAAAAGTATGTAGGGGCACAAATATTTACAAGCAAATGTGGATGAGTCTTATAATACAATAATGATATCACAATAGAGCTCCCTTCTTCCTGTCATCATCATTTCCGGTGGTGTCCCTTCTTATTGCCCTTCTGGCTCTTATCTCGCCCGCTTTCATTTTTGTCCCTCCCGCTTTTTTCCTTCGCAGTTGTTCCATCCTTTGACGTCGGACGAGATGGTTTCGAGCTGTTTCCTCCTCTCGTGTTGTCCATGCGGCTCCTTTGACTGTCGGTCATGCGCTTGATGTTATTGTCGAACCATAGAAGCACTTGCTGCATAGGACTCCTGTCGTCTGCGTCACCGGCCCAAACCTGCTTCGTCATGTAGTCGCAGAATTCTGCTGGCGCCTCGCCAGAGAACTTCATCCTCTCGCCCATAATCACCTGAATGTTAAAACGAATCAATTAGTTTATAATCAGAAAAAAACTCAAAACTTACCCTTCTAGCAACTTCGTTATTGGTACCAAAGTTTTGGTAGGGATTCTCGCCGTTCGCAAAGATCTCCCAGCAGAGGATTCCGAAGGCCCAAACGTCCGACTTCTTGGTGCAGACCCGGTCCCTCATCGTCTCTGGTGCCAACCATTTGATCGGGAGCTTTTGATCCTTGTCGAGCTTGATTTCCGTGTCACCAGGCGCCAGCTCACGAGCGAGCCCGAAGTCAGCAATTTTGACCTTAAAAATTAAAACAAAAATTGATTAAATTTTTGCATTCTATCCACCTTTTGTTCGCTGTACAGGCAATTCCTTGCCGCAATGTCGCAGTGGACGACATTGTTCTCGTGAACATGGGCGAGACCAGAAGCAGCTCCCAGACACATGTACAGCTTGCTCCTTGGGCTCCTCTGGATCTCCTGCAGATAGTCCTTCAGTGCACCATTTGTCGCGAGCTCCATTACGATCATCAGCGGCTCCTGACCAACGGCTACACCTTAAAATCTAATTATATAATTGAGAAGGGTGTGTGTGTTTGTTTGTCTGTCCTTTTATAGACAAGTGGGCTTTTATAGTAAAGTGATTGGGGGAGTGAGGAAAAGGGGGCTTTTATAGTAAAGCGTTGCCAGTTGAATTAGGTTGAAAGGGTAAGCAGATAGTATAAAAGCAGGGTATTTTGGTCAGTCTTAACTGCTGCCAAAACCTTCTCAACTTTGCTGTGCTCTGTTCTACGTTGCTGGAGTCCTGTGTCCTCTGAGTGCTAGGCGTCAACGTTCATTTGTCAAGTGCTAGACGTCAACGTTCGTGTGTCAAGTGCTAGACGTCAACGTTCATTTGAAGTGTGTTAAACGTCAACGTTCGTGTGTCAAGTGCTAGACGTCAACGTTCATTTAAAGTGTGCTAAACGTCAACGTTCGTGTGTCAAGTGCTAGACGTCAACGTTCATGTGTCAAGTGCTAGACGTCAACGTTCATTTGAAGTGTGCTAGACGTCAACGTTCATGTGTCAAGTGCTAGACGTCAACGTTCATTTGAAGTGTGCTAGACGTCGACGTTCATGTGTCAAGTGCTAGACGTCAACGTTCATTTGAAGTGTGCTAGACGTCAACGTTCATGTGTCAAGTGCTAGACGTCAACGTTCATTTGAAGTGTGCTAGACGTCAACGTTCATGTGTCAAGTGCTAGGCGTCAACGTTCATTTGTCAAGTGCTAGGCGTCAACGTTCATGTGTCAAGTGCTAGACATCAACGTTCATGTGTCAAGTGCTAGACGTCAACGTTCATGTGTCAAGTGCTAGACGTCAACGTTCATGTGTCAAGTGCTAGACGTCAACGTTCATTTGAAGTGTGCTAGACGTCAACGTTCATGTGTCAAGTGCTAGATCTCAAGTGATAGGCGTCAAATTTCAGGCGAATATTGAAAGGTGGAATTGTGAAGCAGGCGGAATATTGAAGCAGGGGGAATAGTGAAGCAGGCGGAATATTCAAACAAGGAATTGTGAAGCACGCGGAATCTTGAAACAGGTGTAATTGTGAAGCAGGCGGTATTGTGAGGCAAGAGGAATAGTGAAGCAGGCGGAATTTTCAAACAAGATTAATTGTGAAGCAAGCGGAATATTTAAGCAGGGAAATTGTGAAGGAGGCGGAATATTTAAACAGGTGGAATTGTGAAGCAGGCGGTATTGTGAGGCAAGGGGAATTGTGAAGCAACGGGAATTGTGAAGCAGGCGGAATATTGAAACAAGGTGAATTGTGAAGCAGGTTGAATATTTAAACAGGGGGAATTTTAAAGCAGTCGGTATTGTGAGGCAAGGGGAATTGTGAAGTAGGCGTAATATTGAAGCAGGGGGAATAAAGGGGGATGTAAAGCAGGCGGAATATTGAAACAGAAGGTATTGTGAAGCAGGCGGAATATTGAAGCAGTGGGAATGAAGGGGGATTGTGAAGCAGGCGGAATATCGAAAAAGGGGGGATTGATAAGCAGGCGGAATATTGAAGCAAGGTGAAGTAGGTGAAGTATTTAAACATGGGTAATTGTGAAGTAGGCGGAATTGTGAGGAGAAAAATGGGTCAGCGAGATTGGTCGGCCAAAGGCTTTTGAATCGGATCTTAAGACGAATAGTTTTGTTATGCTAGCGGAGTCACACGAGCACCTTTGTGTATCCTATCAGGTGCATTTATTAGATGCTTTGCTTTGTTAAATGTTTTGGTAATCAGGAACTGTTTTAATGCTGGTCAATGTTTTGATGATCGGGTTTTTACGTTTATGATTGGATTAGGGCCAATTTTGAGGTTGTGATAAGTTGATTTGGAGTTTGTTTTTTGGTTTGTTTTTGCTAGCGGGGTGGGGCGGCCGAAGGCCGACCAACTCCGCTAGTTTGAAAATATTTAGAAAATACATGGAACCTATATCCTGCAACTCACCATACGACTGAATGACGTTCGGATGCTTGAACTTGCGCATTATACGGGCCTCGTTCATGAACTCCTTTATCTGCTCCTTTGTGCATTTGGTCAACGTTGCCTCTTTGATGGCTACCTTCACCGTCTGTCCGCCGCTTTGCTTGAGCTCTCCGCGTCTTACAATGCCGAATGCACCAGCTCCTAGCTTTGCTCCGTTCACAATGTCCGCATGTGCCAGCTCCCAATCCTTCCTCCCAATGGGCTTCGTGATGATGACATGGCTTGCCTAAAAATAGCTTGTTATAAGCTTATGTTTTGGATCAACTGTACTGAGCAAACGGGTTGGCGGCTTTGCATATGACTGTCGACGAAATCCCTTATTGATTTGTAGCCCTTGTCTGATTTGAAGTCGATGGAAATGCGCCCCCTCTCCTCGCGGAAGAGATAGTGCTTGACGTTGCCGTAGACGACCGACAGGACGAACGTTCTTGCATCGCCTGCATTCTCCTCACTCTTCCGGATCAGGAACTCGCCATTTGCCTTCAGCATTGCAACAGTGTCCTCTCGCGGAAGCTAAATAAATGAAGGGAAATGTATCAACATTATATTTAAAAATTTAAATTTAGGCTCACCAATCCATGGTAATATGGTAGCTCCCACAGGTTTCTGTCAGACTCCATTGGCAGTGAGAAAATTGAGATGACAACCAGAAACGAAGCAGCAGAAGACGTTGACGAGGTACAGCAACGGTGTCCCGAACAGCAGTAGTCGTGATGCAGTCGAAGCGCAATTCCAGTGTTGTCGAGTCGTAGTGAGTTATGTTGAGAATTTTTAGATGCCTTTTATATGATTTTTTGGTTAATTACGCTAGTGATATAAAAGCAGGCAAAACTTGAGATAACTCAACGAACGAGTCAACAACACTGGCTTTTCGCTTCAATTGCATCAGGACGCCGTCTGTGCTCATCGTCACTCAAGTTTGCTCTGTAAACGCCTTTTTGCCTCTTCGGTCCTCTGTAAACAGTCTTCTGCCGCTTCGCTGCTCATTGTTCCAATGGATACTGAACGAGACCTGTAGGAGCTACCTTAAAATTCAAACCAATTCAAAAAGAAAAACTCGAAAGATGACTTAACATAGAAATGAAATTATGTTACAATGTACATAATTAATTTTGTAAAATTAATTATTTAATATTATCAAAATTAATTTAAAATAGTACAAATATTTTTTGATTAATTGAGAAAAACAATTTTTCTTATAAAAATTTAAAAAAACCACCGCCGAGTTTCACATTAAATTTGTGATGGCTTTACAAATTTAATTCAAAATATATTTTTTGATTAACTTTACTTAAAATAAATAAAAATATTTGGTAATAAATATAACAAAATATAAAATTAACAAAACAAAATTAGCAAAACAATTAATTCATCGAAAAATAAATTGAAAATTTCCATTTAAAGATAATTTCCTATGTAATTCAACAGGAGAACATACATAACGTAAAGCTAAATCATCTAAGGAATACTGCTGCGGCAATTCTTTTAAAATATTTTAATTTTAAATTAAACTTTGAAGGAAAAAAATAAATTTGATAGATAGAAAAAACTTTACATACGGAAATTTAAATAGTGTGTTCTACTGTATTTTTATTTATGAAACACGCAACAATTTTTGATAATTTTTTTAGTGTTTTCATGATCTAATTTATTTTTATATTTTGTACTTATATTATTGTTAAAATATGATTGTCATAATTCTAGTCTTATTTTCTGTTTAGAAAGAAATATGATAGTTTTATTCAAAAACTTTGGATTTGTTTATAAAACCATTAATTTATAAATATATATACAATAATTTATTTTTTTATATATTTTTCATTTCTCATTCAAAATATTTTAAATAAAAACAAAAATATTTTTAATTACTAAATTTTAATTTTTTTAAAAATTAAATTTAAACTTTTTGTTATTATAACTTTGACAAATAAATAAATGCTTTTTAATTAAATATTTGGAATATTAATCTCTAAATTATCCATTAAAATATTAAAAAACATACATAGATGTCTAAAATTAATTAACCTAAATTTCATTAAAATTTAAATAAAATGAAGAGAATGTTAAATTATTTAAATATAATAATAATTTTTATTTATTTATTCTCCTTATTAATATTTCCAATAATATGTACTTTTCAAGAAGAAGAAATTCTTGAATTAACAAATAAAGACGAAACTAGGTTTTAAAAAATTAAAATAAAAATTTTTAAATTAAAAATTAAATAGATCCAGAATTATAATGGTTGACGGTAATATTTATTTTGTTGCTGGGTCTGAAAGAAATATTTCTTTTATTGTATCAACTGGCTCTAATATACAATTTGGAAATACAAATATAATGAATTTACCTAATTCGGTTATTTAATTGGAATAATATTTTAAAAAATTATCTGTAGAAAAAATAATTTGAAAAAATTTATTTTAAAATATGCAGAAAAAGGATCTAATTTTACTTTCAAATAATTTTATAGACGGAAGTTGCTGCAGTACGTAATTTACTTTTAAATGCTCAAGAACGTATGCTTGGATTCGAGAATACTTTACAAACATCTAATTTAGAGTTAAAATTTTCTAAAAAATATTTTTTTAAATTTATTTTTGCTTAATATCCATCCCTTCTTTGAATCAAAAATAAAAATTTAATTTTTCTATTAGGTGGCAAAATAAAATAAATGAATTACTTCAAAAGGTATTTTAAATGAATTGATTAAAAATTAATTATTTTTTAAAAGCATTCATTATTAACTAAACAAATTTCGGCACAAGTAAATGACACTTATCAAAGGGCTCGAACCAATAGACGGGCTCGTTTGCTTATTTTAAAGCTTACAAAGCAAATAGAACGCCTTTTCAAGCTTATGGCTACAGATGAATGTTTAATAGGTGGTGCTGATAATTGTAAAAATGGAGGTGTGTTTATTGGAGGGAATAGAACAAGATTATATAAAATTTTTATAGGGACTTGTATTGATGGCTTTGGTAAATTTCAATGTCTTTGTCCCGCACATTTTCAGGTATTTTATATTAAATATCCCTTTCATAATTCCTCAATAGGGAAAGCATTGTGAAATACGTGTTGATGAATGTGCCATTTATAGCGGGACAGCAATTGGCTGTCAAAACGGTGCTAAATGTACAAATAATCCTGTATTTACATTTTACTAGCCTTAAAAATTATTTTCTATTTAATATAGAAAATAGCAGGGTTTACTTGTAATTGTACAGCTGGATGGCATGGACTTCTTTGTGAACATAAAGAGAATACTTGTGACGGTGCCGACGATATTTGTGGCACTCATGGGCATTGTATTCCGAGTCGGAGCAGTCAGTCTGCCGTAAATAGAAATTGATAAAAAAATTTTAAAAAATATTTTTAAATAGATTGGATATCGATGTATTTGTGATCCGGGTTTTAAACAAGGTGGAGATCCATCGAATCCAATTTGTGTGGATATAGATGAATGTGCTTTAAATAATCCATGCTATCCGGGAACAGAGTGAGCTACTTTTTGTGTTTTTAATTTAAATAAAAAAATATTTGGGTGTATAAATTTGCCTGGATCTTTTAAATGTGGTGGATGTCCGTCTGGATTAATTGGTAGGGGTTTTTTAAAACATTAAGTTTTTAATTAACAAGTATAATCAACTAAACCTCAATTTATTTCTTTACTTATTAGGAAATGGTTTACATTGTTTGGATTTTGATGAATGTGCAAATGATTTAACAAACGAATGTTCTAAACAACCACCAGTTGAATGTATAAACATTCATGGAAGTTATAAATGTGGAGAATGCCCAACTGGATATTTGTCAAAAGGAGAGAAACAAGGCCAAATTTGTCAAAAAATTGATATTTGCAATAACCCCCAATTAATTAATGGAGGTTGTTCTCCATTAGCTAAATGTGTTAATGAACCTGAATTTCGTTGTATTTGCCCTATGAGAATGACTGGAAATGGAATTGGGCCAGATGGATGTGAAAATCCAAAAATAAATGGAACTGATGAAGAAAATTTGTGTTTAGAGAATAATAAATATTGTTTAAATGGAGGGACTTGTCAAGTAATTAATTAAAAGAATATTGCCTACAATTAAATTATAATTATTTTAGGCGATTTCTTCAACAAAATTTAGGTGTTTATGTCCAGAAACACATTATGGGGGTCATTGCGAACATCCAAACCCTTGTCTTTCACGACAATTTTGTTCTGGTCATGGACGGTGCCAAAAAGATCCTTTGGGGTGTATTTGCTTTAAAGGCTTTTATGGGCCACGTTGTCAATTTCAGGAAGATGGTAAATAAAGATAATTAGGGAGAGATTAATAAATAGTTAATTATTAAAAGGATGTGGTTTTCATACTTCGAATGAGACGGGAGAATTAATTTATGAACGGACTGCCCCTAGTCCATTGTTCGATAGATGGACTTGTACTTGGCATATAGAAATGTTTGACACTAGAAAAGTAATTAGTAATTCTTTAAATTTTAAAAGGCTCCGGTACAAAATATGGAATCGTTAAAATATGGAATGGTTAAAATCGCGAAAAGGCTAAAAAGGGGTTAAAATACCGAATCGTTAAAATATGGAAACGTTAAAATATCGAATCGGGTAAAAAAGGGTTAAAATATGGAATCGTTAAAATATGGAATGGTAAAAATGTCGACACGGCCAAAATCGGTCAAAATGTCGAATTCTTTTAAAAAAGGGTCAGATGAGTGCCATACATTGATTATTGATAATTTTATCAACTTATCAACTTATTGATGATAAGTTGATTGATAAGTCTCTTATGTCGTAGTCCGGCGCAATCTTTTCTGCCCGAGTTCAGTGTATTTTACGGAGTAAAACCGGACCGGATAAATTAAGCATAATCGACACCGGATCCGGTCCGGCATGATCGTACGGATCCGGAAAACATAACGCGATCCTGATATGGAAAAATTATAGTGGTGTGCATTAGTTTTTAGTTAAGACCTAAAGTTTGACCTTACCGTATACGGTATGGAATACCGAAAAACACCGATCAGCTTTTAAATTTTATCGGAAGGCATTCCGTACCGTACAACCGACACGGAATACCGAAAAATACCATCGGTATTACGGTACCGTCCGGATTCTAGTTTTGGCGCCATTTTTAAAAAATTCGACATTTTGACCAATTTTGGCCGTGTCGACATTTTTACCATTCCATATTTTAACGATTCCATATTTTAACCCTTTTTTAGCCTATTCGATATTTTAACCATTCCATATTTTAACGATTCCATATTTTAACCCCTTTTTAGCCTATTCGCGATTTTAACCCCTTTTTACCCGATTCGAGATTTTAACCCTTTTTTAGCCTATTCCATATTTTAACGATTCGATATTTTGTCCGGACACGTTTTAAAATTGTTGTTGTTATCATAGAGACAATAAACCAAACAATTAAAAAATATATACTAAAAAATTATTTCATTACTCAGGTTTTACAAATAAACTTTCTCAATCTGACAGCTCCTCATTTATTTGAAGTTACATCAAAGGTGATTTTATAGTTCAACCGTTAAGTGTTAATTCTTTTTAACAATTTAGGGATGTGAAAACGCTTTTGTTACCTTAACTATTTTTGATGGCGCTGATCCATTACAAAGCCCTACACTTGCTTCTACACAAATTGTAAATATGTGTCATGGAGAGGATTTTGAAGTATTTAAAAATTAATGGAAAAATTAATTTTTAAAAAAATTAGACGCCCTTTAAACACCCACTTTTTACTTCAACTAATAAAGCAGTTATTCGTTTAAGCAGTCGAATTCAAGGTCGAAGTACTTTTTTACATCTAAATTGGACAGCTAAAAAGCCAAGTATAAGTTCTTAGAATCTTAAATTTAAATTCCTTCGTAAAAAATTTTCAGGCTGTGGGGGCAGGTTTTCCAGTCCTAATGGGGGAAGGATTGACTATTATTTAGAAGATTCTAGACGAGATGAGGAGGAATTGGGGGATAAAGCCTGTATTTGGTAATTAAATATATTTGTTTATTTAATTTAAATAAAGGTATGTAAATGTTCCCCCTCAATTCCATATTGAATTGAGTCTTCAAGTTCTTCGTTTACCTAGTGCAGAAAATGTCAATTGTTCAACAAACATTTTAGAGGCAATTAATTTATAAAAAATATTAGATGTCATCTAAGCATCCTAAAAGAGCATTTTAAATAATTTCCAGATATTTGACAGTCAAATGCCATCAAACAAAACACTTTCCTCTCAAAAATGCTCTTCTTTGCCAACTAAGGAAGCTCCAACAGTTGTACGAACATCCGGTCCTTTTGCTACTATTTACCTTCGAATAGATGGGCAACAACAACAATTTTTTAATAAAAAATGTTAGCAAAATAAAATTAAAATTTTTAGAAGAAAATATTTCTAACCTTTATTAATTTTGTAATTAAAAGAAATTATTTAAAATTAAAGGTGGAACTTCCTGCACATCTATTGGTTTCACTATTGTTTACAAAACAATTGAATGTAAAATAGAAATAAATTTAAAAATTATTTTTTAATTTTCAAAAAGTGCCAACTGGTTGTGGAGGCAAAATACAAGCAGAAGAATCTTCCTCATTACTTCAATCACCCAATTATCCACATATTTATTTTCCTAATTTGGATTGTCTTTGGATTATACAACCAAAAATTATATCAAATAATAATACAGAGGATAATGATGAAAATAATAAATTAATAAATAATAATGAGGGGAATGATGGGGATCCTTATTTGGTAGATCAAAAAGTGGAGATTTTCTTTAAACATTTTGATGTGCCTACAACTGTTACTCAGGTATTTACTGTGTAGGATATGTTCTAGAAATTTATGTGAAATTGAAAAAGTTGAAAATAAATTAATTAAAAATTATTCTAAAAATTATTTTAAATAAATTCAACCAAAATCCAAAATTTGTTCACTCCTGTAAAGCATATACATAGCTGTTTAATCCTAAGGCTATGCAGTAATGGCTAATACATCAGTCAGGTTTACTGATGATGCTGGTTCGCTCCCAGCCGCCGAATAACCTTTTGCTCTGGCTAAGGGAGAGAAATAGCTATAGCGGCTATAGTGTAGCCCAGCTGCTTTACTCTCTTAAGGAATTATTTTTTCGATTAATTCCCATAATGAAGAATTAATTGAATAAATATTTTAATTAAAATTAAAATCTTTCTCATTTTTTTTAATTAAAAAGTATTCAAATCCCCTCCTTCGCCATGTAACAATAAATTCTTGTGTTGGAGATTCTCTACAAATAGTTGAGAAAGAATTAACTTATTGCAATATGCAAAAACCTTCACTCAATTTGCCTATTGTAGCTCCTTATCTTTCTTTAAAATTCCACTCTGATTCTTCAATTGGTGGATCTGGATTTTCTATACGTTATCGTTCTGGTTATTTTTTTAATTAAATTATAATAAAATAATTTTTATTTTAAAAAGTAAGAAAAACTCAAATAATTTTAAATTACCGTACTTTCTCGATTAATTCCCCACTCTCAATTAATTTCCCATGCTAGAGTTGGGTTGAAACAATAATTCCCCATCCACAAATACCCTACTTCACGTTCAAATGCCAAAATTCGAATAATTCTCCTCCCTCGAATAATTCCCCATCCCATGTATGGGTTGAAATATTAATTCCCCAAAAGAATTAATCGAGAAAATAGGTACTTAATAAAGCTAAATTTTAATTAAAAGATTAAATATCAAAATTCTTTTTAAATAATTACATTACTTATATTAAACTTTTAAGTTTGTCAAAAAGATTTTACTTTACCAAACGGCACAATATCTCCACCAAACTATCCCGGCCCATCATCCCAACCCTTTAAATGTACTTACAGAATTATTGCAAAGCCAAGTCAGGTAAAATAAAAATAGCTTAACAATTAAATTTAAATTTAATTCTCAAAAAAAGGCTATTCGTTTACGTTTTGACAAAATTGGATTTACTACAAGTTTTGGTTCTTGTTTCTACAATTCTCGTCAAAATAACCCACAAATTCAAGATTATGTTGAAGTATTTAATTAAAATCCAGAATTATCCTTTTTTTATTTTAAAGCTTTCTGGAGGCCATTCATCTAATGAAGTGGCGAATAAACGTTATATTTGTCCTCGTTACCCTTTTGTGGCGCCAGGAGGAGAAATTGTGACTAGTGGAATAAGACCTTTCTCTATTACATATAGTTTGTTTTTAAAAACCCGAATGGGGTTTCTGGTTTGGTTTCGAATATCCAAAGAATTTTTTGGAACCGACACCCCCCCCCCCCATTTCTGAGTGTTTTAACAAAAATTATTTTTTGAGGTACAAGTGGTTCTCCAACAAATAAGGGTTTCCTCTTCTATTATGAAACATTTAACGTTGGTTGTGGTGGTGTTTTTACAATAAATGAAAACGGAGAACAAAAAATAACAATAACTAGTCCAAACTATCCAGAACCTTATATTCCATTTATGTATTGTGTTTATTTCCTTCGAGTACCAATTGTTAGTTTTTTTAAATAATTTAAATTAAACTAAGTTTTTGTGATAGGGAAAAGCTGTCCGACTTAGTTTTGATGTTTTTGATATAGAAAATGTTGCCCATAGGGATGATTGCGATTTTGATAATGTTAGGGTTTTTGATACTTATACTGATGATAATGAATATGGACAGTTACTTGGAAAGTAAGTGTTAAGTATTTAATATTCGATTAATTGGGTAATCATTGTTTCAACCTTTCGTTGAAGGGGGATAGGATTAATAAAGAGAGGACAATTATTTGAATGAGGGGGATCCGGCCTTCTTCATGGATCCTGCCGTCTCATTCCGAAAATCGTAACATTTTTATGTCAGCAGGATCCCTGGTAATACATACATTTGGGGTGTTATTGATATCATGATTTGTTCCCTACTTTTAAGACCCATTCTCACTTTCACTTCTCCTTACTTTAAAATTTACATATATTTTTTTAAAGATTCTGTGGAAAATCCTTACCACCTCCATTAATTTCCAATTCTGGGCAAATGGCTGTTGTCTTCATTAGTGATCGTTCTGTGAGCGGTTCTGGTTTCTCAGCAAAATTCCAAGCAATTGATTTGACTTCACATTGTGACAGAACATTTACAGAATCCTCGGGGGAATTTGTTTTTGATTTTAGAAATTTTGAGCAAAATGAATATTGCAATTATAAAATTCAAGTAAATAAATTAAATTAATTCTTTAATTCAAAATTTAATTTAAAAATATGTAGATTTCTTCAAATCGCCGTATTCTTTTAAATATTTTAAATATTTCTTCTCCTTGTGATTATGGAACTTTAATGGTTCGAAATGGCCCTTCAGAATCCTCTCCAGGATTTGCTGGACTTTATGGAGATTCTGAAATTTGCAGTTAATTTGTAAAATAATTCCAAAATATTTTTTCAATTAAAGATGAGAATCCAATAAAGCAATTAATCTCTCAAGGAAATCGCCTTTTCCTTCGTTTTCGTTCAATAACTAATAAAGCAATTCGGTTTGAAGTAAAATATGAGCAATATGAAGCTGGTAAATAAATATTTATTTATTTAAATTCATTAAATATTTCTATATTTCAGGCTGTGGTGGTCACATAACAGGATTTAGTGGAGCTATTTCAACACCCCAATATCCCTATAAAGATTCTCATTCACTCCGTTGTGAATGGTTGTTAGCTGTACCCTCAGGAAATAAAGTTCCTTTTTGAGAATTTCTCTCAAAAATTATTTTATTTTGTTTAGATTCAATTCCAAATAATTAAATTAGACAATCTAGACTCTGAAGATTCTGACGGGAATTGTTCCCCTTTTAGTCGAAATTTATTGGAACTTTATGATATAAAATATGGAGGGGAAAATAGTAAAAATGAACATTTAATTGAGCGTTATTGTAAACAAGAAACAACAAATCCATTACCGATAATCTCTTCTAGTAATTCTTTAAATGTTAAATTCTCCCAACATGGGGGTTCTCATCATTCGCCCATTTTTGGATTTTTAGCTGAATTTTCTACTGGTACATATTTCTGAATATTTTTAATTAAAATATTAATTATCAAGTTTGTACTGATATTGTGTTGGAAGGATTACATGGAACATTACAATCACCTGGATATCCACAACGAGTACTCCTACCTAGAAGTAAAGAGATTATTGGAAAATATTTCTTTAACTTAGTCTTAGACTTTTCTTAAATGAAAAATTTTTGGAAATTTATAGTTTCTTTAATTCCCCGAGCTGGGTTGAATTAGAATTTACACAAATTTTTCTAATTAATTTGAATAGGAGGAGGGACAGATAAAAGTAGAATATCCGTTTATCTACTCTTTCTTTTAAAGATTGCAAATGGAAAATCCAAACTCCTTCTGGCAGTCGAATCCAATTGCAATTCCACTTATTTAGAATTACAGACACTGGAAATAATTTGGGTTAGAAATATTTTTATTCAAAATAACAAATCAGAATAATTCTGATTTCTTAAGATAATTATTTTAAAAATCAGAACATTTATTTTTAATAATTTAATTAGAAAATTAATTTTAATTATTAAAATCAGAATTATTTTTATAGTGAAATTTATGAGAACTAGTCCAGCCTTTTGTGCTAAGAATTATTTGAAGGTTTTATTAATTATTTTTAATAATTATCAAATAAAAAATCAGATATTTTCAAATGAAATTAAACAAATTATTTGGATAAAAAATGGAAAAACAATGAAAAGTAACGATTCGACAAAAATTCCCGAAAGTTTATGTCTTGGAATTGCTGAACCAATGGAAATTATTTCAAAACAAAATAAATTAAATTTAGAATTTTATTCGAGAAATGAACCAGAAAATCATTTTTGGCTTAGTTGGAATACTATTGGTAATTTAGGGAATAATAATTAAGAAAAAATATAAATATAAGGTTGTGGTGGTGTTATTACACAAAATAATTCTCGATTAATAGCCAATGCTTCAGAAGGGGCTGATTTCGTGGGGGAGGATCCTTATCGAAAATGTATTTGGTATATTAAGGTAAATAAATAGATTATTTGTTTAAATATTTTAAATATTTAAAAGCCACCAATTGGCTATAGCATTCAAGTAATGATTGAAAGGATGCAGACAGAGCCAGTACCTGCTGGACAAAAATGTTTTGAAGTTCAGCCGGCTGGCTTTACCGGTGGTGAAAAGACTCGTTTGAGGGATGGTGTTCAGGTAGGGGGAAATGTTTGTGAGTAAATGAAAAAAAATTAAAATTAAGTTTTACGCTGTTGACAGTCAATTTGCTTTTGAAAGGTTATCTGGAGGAAATGAAGAAGATTTGCCTTTAAAAGCATTTTGTGGAAAATTAAAAAATGTTAGCTTTAATTGGGGAGGAAATTCAGCTTCTGCTGGAGGGTTAGCAATTGTATTTAGTTATCATACAGACACAACAGAATTATTAACTGATACATTAATTGGGGCTGCAATTTTTGGTGATGGAACATTTGCTCCAGTCGATGATCAAATTGTTTTTTCTGCAAAAATTAATTTTTGGCCTATTTCCACAGAAGGAAATGGAGGAGTTATTTTTGGTTGGAATTTGAGATAAATTACAGTCGAACTCACCTTTAGATAACCCCAAAATTAGGTACACAACTAGTTTGGACATTATTTTTTCAAAGGGGTCTGCCTAAACAATACCATAAGGTGCCCCTCATTATATTTTATAATCCTTTAGCTTCAAGGGATATCTAAGTAAAAGTTCGACTATATTTGGAAATTCTAGTATTTTTTATAATAATATTTTTAGTTGATCCACATTCTGATTCATTTATTCAATCACCAAACTATCCAAAGCCTTATCCAAGAAGCATTGAGGCAAAAAATAAATTTAAAAGAATTATTTAAATATTATTTTTTTAGCTAACTTGGAAATTTGAAACGCCTGAAGGGTTTATACCGGCATTCCAAATTTTGAATTTTACAAGTCCAGTGCTGGGCACATCAATATTTGATTGGCGGGGAGGTACAGGAGTATTTGCTACTTCATCTTCTCAGTCATTATCAAATAATTCTTTAAATCCTGAGGATTTTACTTGTGGGTATCATATGCTTTATTTGCGTGGGGGTCTTATTTTCTCTGAAGGAATGGCTGAAAATAATATATCCTCTGGCCAACAACTAAATCAAGAAAATTTGTAAGTGAGAATTTTGAGTAATTTTGTGAAGAAATGAGGAATTTATTGTAATAATTTAATTAAAAATTTATTTTATTCCAAATTAAAAATAAATATTTTTTAAGATTTTATGGAAGCATTTTACAAACAAAATATAGAATTTGTAAAGATATAAGAGTAAATCCGGTTGAAATAATAATGGATGGAAATTTGGTGAATAAATTTATTTTTGTTTTATTTTATTGGGCTTATTTTAGGGTATAGTCACATTTAGAGGAGCACCTTATGACCAAATAAGTTCTGAGATTAATACTCCTCAACAACAACAAAAAATTCAACGGCCAATAGGTTTTCGTCTTCATGTTTATGCAAAATGTGGTGGAATTCTTTGGGTTAATAGTGAACGTAAAGTGCTTAATACAGCAAATGTTGGGTTAAAAATGCAACAAAATATTAATAAAATAAAAGAAAATAATAATAGCAATATTTGCGAATGGAATTTACGTTTGAGTGAAAATTCTGAAGGTAAATAATCTTCAATAATTATTTGTGAAATTTATTTTTAAAGGCAATCAGAAAATCTTTGTTCGTGTCGAGCAATACTTTTTCCCATCATCAACACAATTATTAGACCCTAATAATAATGGAGAACCTCCTCAGTTGGAATTTTTTTGTGGAGAAGATTCTAAAGGAATTGTTGAGGCTTCAACACATTACACAAACACTCATCAAACACCCCAACTACAACATTTCCATGAATTTGTATGTGATCAGAATCAGGCAAAATTAGTTGGTAAACAATTAAATACAATGGAATCATCTGCTTTTCTTATTAATTATGATGTTGCATCCACCTGTAATAAATTTATATTTCTTCAAACAGAATTATTTTAAAATATTTTTAATATGACATACATACAGTGGAACCTTATTTTTAGATAATCTTAGTTAAATACACCTTAGTTTAATTTGTTTTTTTTAGAATTTGGTTGGTCATAGTGTGCGGGAAGCTTCTTAAGCGATACCTTCTATGTAAAATAAACTCCGTTATAAGATATTATTTATCAAGCTCCAAGTGTTCATCTAAAATTAGTTTGACTATTATATAATTTATTTTTAAAGTTTGTGGTGGTCAATCAATTAACGATCAACAAGGCAGACTTGCACTCAATCCAATTTTGTCCCCAACAGAATGTGAATGGACTATTAATGCCGTTAAAGGCTCCCATGTTTCTATCCAAATTCTTGCTTTTTCACTTCCAAAGTCGGAATTCTGTACAATTTCATTTTTGGAATTTCGAGAAAAAAATTCGAGTGGACAATTAATTGGACGTTTTTGTGGAGATTTGTTTCCCCCATCTGTTGAAAATATTGAAGGACCTATTTATATTAGATTGAGACACAAAATTGAAGAAGATTTGGATATTGATGGGGGTGAAGGAGAAGGAAATAATGATAATGGAAAAATAGCAAGAATTGAATTAAAATATACAAAAAGTGAGTGTTAACTATTTAATTATCGTTAGTTATATTTTCTGAATTTGTATTCACAATTTAAATTATTTTATTCAAGTTTATGGCCAAACATCTTCTCACATAATCGAATCGCCCCCCGAAGGGTTAATTCAGCCAGTTTCTTGGCGAATCGCTACAGAAGATTCTGAGAATTGGATTCAGTTTGGATTGACTGAATATATTTTAGAACAATTTCCGGCTAGAATAGATATTCACCCATATTGGTGTTTTTTGGTTCCTTCCACGTCGGTTGGTGATTTATTGGAAAATATTTAATTTAAAAAATTTTAATTTAGGAAGAAGAAGCCTGTGTTGCTAACGATCCATTAACTATTAGCTTTACTTCTCTTTCACCTCCCGAGAGAAATTATTTATATACTTTACGATCTAATAAAGCAACAATTGTTTTCTATCCAAAATGTTTTGTTTCCAAAAATTGTTTAGTATCTCCATTTAAATTTTATTGGAAAGAGGTGAATCCAAGGAAAGGAGAACATAATGGGACATCAGAAATTGTAATTATTGAGAACCTTAATAATTAATCTCATTTTTTACTTGAAAGGATAATATCGAAAAATCAAAAGATGGAGGCTTTATTTGTGGGGGAGAATTAACTGCAACATATAAAATACAAATACTAAATAGTCCGATTGATCAGAATACAATGAAGTTGGTGGATTTTTTTTATTTTAAATTTGGAAGATACGTTCACTAAAGGATTTTTTTAATTATTTTTTAAATTTTCCTCAAAGATATCGTAACAATGAGAGATGTAAATGGACAATAAGACGTCCCCAATTTGCCAATATTTTGTTGACTGTTACCAATCTAGATTTAGAACCCCATCCAGAATGTCAATATGATTGGTTATCTCTTGGGACAGTAAATTATGAAAAAGCTAAAGAATTAGATAATATTCCAACAATTCAAAGAATTTGTCAAAAACAACAGCAGCCATCAACAACAATTGAAATAAATTCATCAGAGTTTGCTTTTATTTATTTCTACACAGACAGGTAAATAATTAAAATATTTCTTGAATTAGTCGGATCTCCTACCTTTATTAAGGAGTGCCGGAAAATTGGGCTCTGGAAAATTGGGCTCCAACTTTTCGGAAAAATGGGCTCCAGCGGAAATTTGGGCTCTACGTGAAAAAAACGGAAAATTGGGCTCCAATTTTTTAGGCGCGGGGAATTGTGGGCGTCGGAATGAATTTTTGGATTTCAACAGAAAATGACACAAAATCAAACAACGTAAACCTATGGGCATCGGCGAGGCGCTTGTGCAAAATCCCGCGCTTCGCGCGGGATTTTGCGGCACGCGCCTCGCTGGAGTCAACGGTCGCTGGGTTCTACAACAGTAACATAAACCTATTCCTTTTTACTGATTTTCAGCTTTGAAATGCCGACCTACCCACTAAGTAACAGTACAAAAATAGTTATTCCAAATATTTTTCGTATAAATCTAAAAATTCACTCTGACGCCCACAATTCCCCGCGCCTAAAAAATTGGAGCCCAATTTTCCGTTTTTTTCACGTAGAGCCCAAATTTCCGCTGGAGCCCAATTTTCCGAAAAGTTGGAGCCCAATTTTCCGAAAAATCTTGGAGCCCAATTTTCCAGAGCCCAATTTTCCGGACACCTTTATTAAGATTTACTTAAATTAGAGGGGATATTTTGTATTGTGCGTATACTAGCCGGCTGTACCCATTACGGAAAATAGCAAAGGATTGTATAGGACTTGATCCTGAGAGCTCTTTCACGCAATATTACCTGCTGAAACATTCCATCACCCACTGATCGTTTTTATTTTTGCTTTATTTGCTAGGCTGAGAAGAAACTTCGTCGGCCTTACAATATTATACATAGCTAGATCCTTACCTTTATTTACTCTCATTTTCAGGTCTCGGACTAGTGGAGGGTTTTCTCTTAATTATTCATTATCCTGCAATTCAATTGAACTTTTGCTTCCATCTCAAGGAATTTTAGACACACATTTATCTTTAGAACCTTCACCTGAAGATTTAACATTATCTATTAAAAATTTAAAATGTCACTGGTCAATTCTTGTTTTATCGAGAAGGGATATTTTTGTTCAAGCTTTGGATATGGATGTTTGTCCGATTTTTTGGGAAAAAATTTTTTATTTTTAAGTTAGCCCCGAGGGAGTGGTCTAGCCAGGAATGTGTGAATGATGCTTTAGAATTTTCATCTACACCTTTCTATAGCGAAGAAACAATTGCTAATCGTTCTTTAGTACATTGTGGACAAGAAAAGTTTAATTTGACAGTTCCTTCTGGTTATTTATTCATTCGCTATAGAAGAGCTTTACCTAAAGGAAGGGTATTTCAATAAATAATTTTTGGAAATAAAAACACTTTCAGGGATTTAAACTTCGTCTTCACGAAATTATCCACGACTGTGCCTCTTCAATAATTCAACTTGATCAATTTTCTCCTCAAAAAATAATTACTTCTCCAGAATTTCCATTATCTTCCCCCAATTCCTTAGATTGTAATTGGATTCTTAGTGCTCCTCCCGGAAGGCGATTACAATTTACAATTGATCCAAGAACATTTCTTTTACAAAATCCAATTAGCGGGGATCGGTGGGGGAAGAAATTTTGAAATGAAGATTTTAAAAAAAATTTAGTTGTGAGGAAGATTATTTAGAAATTAGGGATGGAAGTTCACATGCTTCAACATTAGTTGGACGTTTTTGTGAAACAAATGCTCCAAGTACTTTTATATCAACTAGCGAACATTTGTATGTTCGTTATGTGACTGGTTAATAATTTTTTTTTATTTTTCAATAAACATTTTCTCCCTTAAAATTAATAAGTTCCCTCAATCTTCCTTAAAATTAAATTTCTTTTTTTCAGACAGCGATTCAGAATCACCTGGTTGGAATGCCACAATTAGTTTATCTTTTTGTGGTGGTTCTGTTGTCCTTGTTTCTGGACAGAATTCAACAATTCATTCTCCCAACTTTCCTGATGTTTACCCATCTTCTCTAAATTGTGAATGGATAATATTTGCACCGAGAGGGCATTTTGTTGAAGCAATGTTCTTAAATAAACAAAAAATATTTCTTTAATGTATTTTTTAGGATGGAACATTTTTGGTTATCTGCCACAGAAAATTGTACTTCTGAATATTTAACAATAAGAGATTATAATTCTACTGGTTTTTCTAAATTTTTAAAAAATAATTTTATTTAAATAAAAGGTGAATATATCCAAAAACCTACCTGTTCAAAATTAACTTTAAATTCCAATGGTTTCTATCGTTCACAACACCGTTCCCTTTCAATTTTATTTGTTGTTAATTACACAACAAGTTCAACAACAACTTCATATATTAGTACAAATACAGCTGCTAGAGCTGCCCGTTTATTCTGTTTAGCTAGAAAATGTGGTTTTAGTCTTCGACTTTGGGCATCTAAATTGTCTTGTGGAGGGACAATAAAGGATGATGGAGGGGAATTGTCTTTGCCTTATGGAAGTAGTTATATGGCAGAAATACCTCTTTTTTGTCAATGGAATTTTCAAGCTGGGATTGGGTTTAGATATTTGTTAGATTTTGAATTTTTGGCAGGAAATGGTGGGGAGGAGGAGGAGGTGAAATTAATTATTTTTTCAAAATTAAAAAAAAAGTTACCAAAAAAATAATATTTTAGAATGCTTTAATGCTTCCTTCTAATAACGCGGATAAAATAAATTGCTTTATAGATTTATTGGTAAATTAATTTTCCATTCAGAAATTTCTTAAAAATTTAAAATAAAATTCAAGTTTTATGATGGCATTGACTTTGGTGATCGAATATTAAATAGTAATTCTCAATATTTTTGTTCTAACAAAACTAGAATAATCTCTACTTCTGACATTTCTATTTTAAAATATGATAATAATAATTGTGGAGAAAATTATTTAAAAGGATTTTGTAATTATGCTAAAATTGTTAATTTATCGCCAAAAATTGAGTGGAAATTATTAAATAAAAAACAATTCAAAATTAAATATACAAAAGTGCCGAAAGATTTAAATAATGCTTCTTGTATGTATGAATTAACAATGGCTGGAAATTTGAGTTTAAATATGCCTCAGGTAAAATTTGAAATTTTGAAAAATATACTGTATACGCTCCAATGATTACCCCCTCAAATAATTACCTCTGGGGTTGCCAAAATGGCCCGACTCGAAAACGGCAACCCTAATTACCTCCTCTTATTTAAATACCCCTCTCTAGCGAGAAGTTAAAACAATAATTGTTCGGGGCAGTTATTTGAGCATATCCGGCAAAACAAATTTTTAACATAATTTTCTTGGCAAAAAACTAAAAAAATAATTTAAAAAATTTTTTTGACAGACAATTGGTGATCAACAACAAATTTGTAAAAAAATTTCTAATTAAAAAAATATTTTTCTCAAAATTTATTTTAGCATTTTGTCATGTCCAAATAAGAAAATTAAATCCAGATTTTATCACTTTACATTTAAGAATTTTAAATGCAAGCTTTTATTCTTCCGGATATTCAACAGATAAATTAAGTAATAAATGTACAAATTGGGAAAGTCAATTTTTAATTAGAGGTGGTTTTTGTGATTGAAAATTGAATAAAAAAATTTTTTAGATGAAAATTCTGATCCAATTGATTTTGAAGAAATTATTTGTAGAAATAATTATATTGCTCAAAATAATCAAACAAACTTTATTTTACTTAATTCTCAATTAGATATTTATGCTTTTAAATTATCTGCTAATATTATTTTGGATTTTTATGGTTTTTTGACTTTTTATATTTATATGGGGAGGGGGGGGGGATTTTCGGGAGAGGGGGTTTGTAAATAATTTATAAAATTTAATTTATTAGAATGTGGCGGTTTAATTGATGAACGTTTTATGGGCATGTCTGGCGAATTGAGCAGTCCAGGGTTTGGAACATCCTCCAATTACAGTAATGGTTTGGAGTGTCTTTGGTTACTTAGAGCACCTGAATCTTACGTTGTTGAGGTATATATATTTTTTAAATATTATTTGTTTTGAGAAAAGTTAATAAATTTAATTTCCTCACAGATAAAATTCACAACAATGGATTTGGAATATCACATTGAATGTTCACTTGATATGTTGGAAGTTATTTCTGGTAGATTTTTTAGAATATTTTGAACGAAGAATAACAAATTTAATTTTTTCAAAAAAGGTGAACGGCAATCTTCGGCTGTTATTCACCGATATTGCAATTCTGAAAGTATGGGAGAAGATCAGAAACTACCAGAACGTTTTCGAACTATTCGTTCTGCCGGCCGTTCTTTAACACTTCGTTTTCACACTGACAGTACGGTCAGTCTAGGAAAAAAATTTGTTAAAAAATTTAAAAATTAGATAACCGCCCGTGGTTTTTCTCTTCAATATACATTTTCCTTACCAAATTCAAAACAATGTGGTTTCAATCTCCATTCACTTGCCGGCGGATTTATTCAATCCCCTGGCTATCCATTAAATGATTATTTAAATAATACAAATTGTTTGTGGGATTTACAAGTCCCTACTGGCTATTATATATTAATTACTTTTGAATATTTTGATATTGCACAATCAATTGATTGCAAAAATGATTTTTTAAAAGTAAGTTTTTGAGGGAGGAGGAATTTTTTTATTCAAATTTAAATTAAAAAAAGATCTCAGAAGAGCACCAATCACGTGCTATAGTCCCTCTACGTTCTTATTATTTTTATTTTGATCATGAATCGCCTGGCCAAAAACTTTGTGGAAATAAATTACCTTCACCTATTCGAACAGAAAGCAACAGAGTTAAAATTAATTTTACAACAGATTCTCGTAAAACAGCAAAAGGATTTAAATTACGTTGGGAAGCGGGTAAATTTGTGTTCTTAATTCTGATTTTTCTTGAATAATTAAAAAATCAGAATATAGTTAAAAAATATTATTAAATAAGAGCGAGATAAAAGTTTGATCCCGGGCAGGCTTAGATCCTTCGACTTCCTGGCAGTTATTGATAGGCACTTTTACTCACCACGTACAATGCTCTACCGACTGATATGAGCTACCGGGACGCTGCTTTCACCTTCTCTTTTAGTAGATCTTAAACACCCGGCTAGTGAGCGATTTAAATGCTAACTATTTCCTTACAATTAGCTTATTTTTGAAACTTTACGGAATTATTAAATACAAAAGAGATTCTGTTTAAATTAAATTAAATTTTTCATTATGAATATACGTACAAATAAGTAAATTTTTTAAGAAATTTCTGATTTTTAATTTAGTTTGTGGAGGTGCTGTATTTCGAAATAATCATGGTGTAATAACCTCTCCAAATTACCCAATTAATTATCCAAATAAAGCAACACAATGTGATTACCTTATTGACCCAGAAGTACAGCCAGGAATTACACAAATTGTTACTTTAAAAGTTTTGGATTTTGATTTGGATAATACAAATTTTGTTGAATTTAATAAAAATAATAATCAGCGACGGTTATGTTCTTCTGATTATTTGGAGATTAAGGATGTTGAACAAAATGTTACTGTTCAATTACTTTGTGGGGCTACTTTCCAAGCTGATTCAGCGGAGGCTGTTTCCATTAAAGTAATTGGATAAAATTTATTTTTTGAAAAATTATACTTGTTTAGGGGCCAATTGGTGTCCGTTTTGTAACAATTCGTTCACAATTTTCATCAGATTCTTCCAAATGGAAAAATCGTCGCGGTTTTAAATTATCTTATGCATTAGCAGATTGTGGGGGTGATGTAAATTTAGTGACAGATCAACAATCATTTCGATCACGTATTTAATTGTCCTTTCAATTCAATTTTTTATTTAATTTTAGAGTCAGTTTATATCACTTCCCCAGCTTTTCCTCTCCCCTACCATCATTCATTCGATTGTGTTTGGAATATAACTGCTTCTTCTGATTATATAATCTCTTATAAATTTACTGATTTAAATATAGAAATGGGGGTGCAGGGCGATTGTCCCTTTGATTCTGTTGAAGTTTTTGACGGAAAGGAATTTAATAATCAAAGCAGAAAAGTAAATGAAATTCTGATTTTAATGAAAAATACACAAATCTTAATTTATTTTAAAGTTAATTATTTGTGGGGATAAAGCACCCGACGGTGAAATGAAAAGTAGTGGTCCTGGATTACTTGTTCGATTTAGAAGTGATCACAGTACAAGTTTTGATGGGTTTAGAATGGTATAGTAAATATTATAATTATTTTTAAAAGATATTTAAAGGTATTAACAGCAACATTGGGACCTTCCAAAGGTTGTGGAGGTCCTCTTAAAGCTTTGGAGAATGAATGGAAGAAATTAAACGTTCCAATTGATCTACAAACTGAGAATTATTATCCAAATCTTCGTTGTGAATGGAATATTGAAGTAAAAAGAAATTAAAAATAAAATTAGTCAACTTTCAACGATTTTTAGGCTGAACGTGGAAATCTTATAGAAATTCGTTTAATTGAATTAAAATTAGAACAAAAACCTCCACAACAAGAACAACAAAATTCTGTTAATTCAACTTTAGCTAATTATGTTGGACTTTCTTTTTTGGAAGTTACCCCTTGTTTTGATTATATAGCTATTTATGATGGACCTAAAGTAAAAAATTATTTTCTAATTTACTACAAAAAAATTATTTTTAAAGGCAACTTCCCCTCTATTACTTCCTCCAAGTTGTAGTTTACCTTTAACTGACAATAATGAATTAAATCCAAATTTTATTTCATCCCATCGCCAAATTGATGTATTTTTCTTTTCTGATTCTAGTACAGAATTGGCTGGAACTGGATTTCAAGTAAAGATTATTTTAAATTTAATTATTAAAAATTTTTTTCTGAAGGCTGAGTTTAGAGCAATTAAATCCGACTGTGGAGGAGCTTTTTTGGCTGGCCAAGAATGGTCTGATGTTAGTTTTGTTAGTGAACGGACACTAAAAAGGACAAATCAACGACATAAACGGCAATTATAATTGAATAATTAGAATTTTTTTTTTGAAATTTTATTAACTTTCAGTTGTCGCTGGTTTCTCTATACAGAAAAACAACAACCTTTGGAAGTTATTTTTGAAAAATTTTCATTTCCATCAACCAGCGGTAATTGTTTGGATGAATTTTTGGAACTTCGTGATGTCGGGGCTTTAAGTGAATGTCAACATCCTGCTTGTGCTACAGAACCATTACAAGGAAAAAAGGAAAGAACTATACGTACATGTGGAGATAATGTTGGTAATTGGATAGGGGATGTTTAAAGCTTATTTTTAAAGTGAAAGGAACAACATCCATCCTTTCCCAAAGCCTATATCATTAATCTAGATAAGAGATTTTCTTTAGATGGATTAAGGTGTTTTCCTCAAAGCTTCTCTAGTTCAGAAATAATTTTATAAATTATCATTTCCCTTTAATTTATTCAGGCACCTCAATGGTACATTTCAAGTACTTCAGTTATACAATTAACTGCTTCTGTTCTTCTCCAAAGCCAATTCTCTGCTAGTTTCCGTATTCGTTTTCGAACTCTTTCTGCTTGCAATCGAAGTATTGAAATTGATGGGAACGGTTAAAGAATTACACAATTTGTTAAAAATTAATTTTTTCTTTTAGTTCCCGATGGTGTTTCATTAGCTTCTGGACGTATTACTTCTCCCAATTATCCCCATTCCCCTTATTTGGCTAATTCTAGTTGCACAACAAAGTTTAAATTTAAAAATCTTTTATTTAGAATACTTCCTCAATTTAAAGGTTAATTGCAGCCGAAGATCATCGTTTCTTTCTCGTTTTTAAACATTTTGAATTAGAAAGGGGCCGTCACAGAATGTTACCTCAATCAATGTTTTATCGTTTTCGACCAATCGGTGCTAATTCAGATAATTTTATTGGTACAGCAACGAGTGGGGCTGATAATTGTTTATATGATTATTTAAATATTTGTTGTTTATCTTCAAATAATCAATTAAATGTAATTAATTTAAAAATAAAATTAAAAATAATTTTTTTAAAGACAAATAATTCATTTGAAAATACAAAAACTTTTTGTGGTTCTTGGTTACCTCCTTCACTAATTTCTGAAAACAACAAAATTGAACTTACTCTTACTACGGATGCTTCTATTATGGGAAGTGGTTTTGAAATTAATTATTATTCTGTTAGGATAACAAGTATTAATTAATTTTAAATTAAAAATATTATTGTTAAACTTTATTTGCAAAATTTTTATTTAAAGTCGATTGTAGCCATTGTTAGGGGGTATCTCTTAATTAGTTAGTTTCTCCCGTCTTTTGGCCAATCAAATTAAAAATGTACCTTAAATTGGGGAAAGGTTTATGTGAAAGTTAGGTCCGACCAATATAGAGTAAAAGAAATCATTTTTATATTTGATAGAAAGTCAGAAAAATATTTTAAAGATTTTTTTAAATTTCTCAGCAGACCCTAAAATTTCGTTTAGTTTTTTAGAGATTAAATTTGATGTTTTATTTTTAATTTAAACAATTTTCAGCTTCAAATAATTTACAAATTTATGAATTATCGCCAATACGTGAAAGATCAGGTGCATTAACAAGTATTAATTACCCAAATAGTTATCCACAAAATTGTTTATTACGTTCTACTTTAATACCCCCAACTGGATTTTTCTGTACTGTTCGTATATTAAATGCTGATTTTGGTAATGAATGTAGAGATTCAAGTAAGGGAAAAAAATATTTTAAATTAAAAATAATTATTGCCGTCCAGCTGGCTAGTTTTTAAATGGCTGGGGAAAGACTTATAGAAATATCTTGTATAAGAAATTATAAATATTTCCTTCAATTTTCCTCAATAAAGAAACTAAAATCATTATTTAATGTCGGGATCACCTGAAAATTGTCAGGGTCGGGTTGACACTTCTTGGGGGTCGGAGGTTTTATCCAAAAAAAGTTCGGGGGTCTTAGTCAAGATTCAGCCTTTATATTAACATTTAAATTAATTAATAACTCAAAAAAATTTTTTTTTAATTTCGATTTCCACAAATGTCCAATCTCTTAAAATCTTTAATTTTATTTTAGAACCTCCTGCCAAATCTGCTCTTTCACCAATAGACACATCAACACAAAATGTCCAATCAATTCCCGATTTTAATACGCTCAATTGGCAACCTTGGCCTTGCTCTGTTAATTATTTTTTGTTTAAAAAATTAATTTTAAAAAATATTTTTTTAAAGGTTGACTCAGAATCTCCCCATAAAATATTAATTCCACCAGGGAATCGTTTATTTATTGAATTTCGATCAGATTCCAATTTAAATAATGATGGAAATGGATTTAGATTAGAATGGGATTGTGAAGATATTAATGCTATTTATTTATAAATTTTATTTTTAAATTACATTTAATTATTTGATAAACAATTATCAGTCCCACTCATCGACACCAATTGGTCGAGAACGATGAAATAACTAGAATTCAACCCCGAGCCGGGCGTGGTAGCCCGGAGGGCATTCTGATGAAATCCGGTTAACCGGCGTTTTTAGCCCAGAAGCCCGCCCGGGTTGCCTCTGAAAAACCCGGACCCAGTAAATTGCTCAATATTAATTATCAATTTAAACCTTTGCCTAGGAGACTAGTATTCTGGCATATCTATATGTATTGAATTTCCTCTAATTAGTGTCAACAGAATACTTTATTCCTAATCAAACCTTCCTAATCAGATTAAAACATTTTTTTAGAGTTCCGGCCCGGCATTGTTATTGAAAAATCATATACTCGCCCTTCGGGCGAGTCTCGACGCTAGTTGACCTTTAAATTAAAGAAATATTCTAAATATTTTTTATTTAAACTTTGTTGTGCAACTAGAATTAGCCAAATAAGGGGAATGTGGATAATTGGAGGAAGTAATACGTCCAGAAGCTAATGAATTTTTTTGGTACTTTTCTCTCTCCATTATTTTTAGAACTAATCTCTTTCACTTTTTGCTGAACGAACAATAATTAATGGAAAATTAGAAAGTAATTTGTTACTCACTAGGACTTGAAGTCAAAACGGGGGGATAATTTCGCGGAGAACGAGTAATCAAAAATCGTGGGTATAGTTTTTATACCTTTTGTTATCTATATAAATGGACTTTAAAAATAAAAATTTTTAATAATAAAAGATTTACTAGGTCGGTTCATAAAAAAGTTCGTTTTTTGTTATCGCAAGTTTTTTGGGTGAAAACTATTTTTATCCGATTTTATTTTTATCTTATTTTGTAGCCCAGTGTCTTAGCTTTATAATGATACAAAAATTTTAAAAATATCAAAGATCAAAAAAATTTTATGCCTTCAGAAGTGAGCGTGGGTAAGGGGAATATTTAGGGGCAGTTACACATCCCATTAAAACTAAGTAATAATGCAATATTGGCATCAAGAAAAATCAATGAAATGATAGGCAGGGATCTTGTCTAACCTAGTGTAGTTCAAAAATTTTTCAAAAAAATTCGATCAGGGAACAATAGGACCAAACGCAAACTTGGCCAAATAAACTTTCTTGGAAAGTGTTACCCCACCCCCTTGTAGCCCTGAGTCTGCTCTATCAGATTAACATCATTTCACTTCTTCAAAAAAATTTTTACGGGACGGGCACTTGGCTGAAGACGCCAAGGTCGAGACTGTGGTGGGGAAGACAGTGCTTCAGAAATGGGGTCAGATTTTTTAAAAAAGAGGTATCCACAAACTTTTTTCTGGTTTAAGAATGTTGTTAAGACTCGGGACAATTATTTAGTAAGGTTAGATATTTTATCTGTTTTAGTTTACTTGAGATTTATCGATTTTTCTTGGAAAATAAATTTTTGGAAAAAACGAACTTTTTTATGAACCGACCTAGTAATTATTAGATGCATAATTAAAATATTTTTAAATTAATATTTTAGGAAATATAAAAATTACAATTAGTATACATATGCTTTACTTTTATTTAAAAATAGTTTCTTTAAAAAGCTGTTTATTCCTCCTAGATTTTAAAGTTGTCCCATCTTATACTCTTCAAATGAATAACTTTAAAATTAATTTTAGAAAATTTTGTTTTTAAATTATATTACATTTTTTTTCTAAGTAACCTGCTTTATCATTTTCTTTAACGTCTCGGCCACTATTAAATTAAAAATTATTTTTATTGTATAATAATTTTATTATTTGTAAATTTTTTCTCAACTTACTCCAACTGAATGTGATTCAGTGCCTTGATAAATAGCCTAAAAATTCTTTTTATCTAAAATTTTATTATAAAGTTTACATTAAATCTAACAATATTATTAGCTAAGATTGTCGCGCGTTTTGGACTGCCAGATTGTATTGTACGTTGTTCAGCATGTGCTATGGCATCACCTAAGCGAAGATTTGTTGGAACAATAGGTCCTTGAGGCCCTGGATTACTACGATAGATAACCAAATCTCCGCTTGTTAACTGAAAAAAGCATTAAAATATCTAGGTTTTGTAGGATAATTGTGTTTCGCTCCCATGGTCACCGCTGTAATAAGTATCTAAGAACCCAGAAAAATATAAATTTAGCGTTTTAACCATTTTTAACCTTTGGAAAGAAATATTTATAAGCGGATAACGGAAAGGTACCAACATAGTCAATAGATGAGCTATGCCTATCTTCAAGTTCTTTAACGAACGAAGTAAGAGTAAATTCACCATTAATTATTACTCTTGGTAAAGGATTCAAGAAAGAATTATTTGTTGAGTTTGAAGAATTTTCCATATAAAAATTAATAATAAAATATTATTTTCTTATTAAAAATATCTATTTATAAATAAAAATAAAAAGGAAAAATAGGTATATGTAATGAGAAAGGAGAATAATAAAAAAAAGGTAAAAATATAAAGTGAAAAATGAAGGTCATAAGTGGGTCCTATATATATAAAAGAACTACCTATTAATAAAAAGCACTAGTGATTAAAAGACTAAGCGGAGGGAGATATTCTAATTTTTTATTTTAAATAAAAATATTTCTAACCCAAATTATTTCCAGTATCAGTAATTCTAAATAGGTGGAATTGTAATTGAATTCGACTGCCGGAAGGAGTTTGGATTTTCCATTTGCAATCTTTAAAAGAAATAATGAAATGGTATGTTGCTGGTATCTGTTTCTCCTTCTTTTCAATCTAACTAAAAAAAATGAAAATTTTGTGTAAATTCTCATTTTTTAATTCATCTCCACGAACCCCTTTTAAATTAACTAAATAGAATTTGCGCAAGTTTTTCATTTAATATTATCTACCTATTTTTAATTGAAAAATTCTTAACTAATCTAAAAATATTTTTCAATAATCTTTTTCACTTCTAGGTAAAAGTACTCGTTGTGGATATCCAGGTGATTGTAATGTTCCATGTAATCCTTCCAATACAATATCAGTACAAACTTTATAATGAATATATTAATTAAAAATATTCAGAAATATGTACCAGTAGAAAATTCAGCTAAAAATCCAAAAATGGGCGAATGATGAGAACCCCCATGTTGGGAGAATTTAACATTTAGAGAATTACTAGAAGAGATTATCGGTAATGGATTTGTTGTTTCTTGTTTACAATAACGTTCAATTAAATGTTCATTTTTACTATTTTCTCCTCCATATTTTATATCATAAAGTTCTAATAAATTTCGACTAAAAGGGGAACAATTCCCGTCAGAATCCTCAGAGTCTAGATTGTCTAATTTAATTATTTGGAATTGAATCTAAACAAAACAAAATAATTTTTAAAAGAATTTTAGAAGGGAGGAACTTTATTTCCAGAGGGTACTGCTAACAACCATTCACAACGGAGTGAATGAGAATCTTTATAGGGATATTGTGGTGTTGAAATAGCTCCGCTAAATCCTGTTACGTGACCACTACAGCCTGAAATATAGAAATATTTAATAAATTAATAAGCTTCATTAATAAGCTTCATGATTAATAAGCTTCATATTAATAAGCTTCATAAATTAATAAGCTTCATATTAATAAGCTTCATAAATTAATAAGCTTCATAAATTAATAAGCTTCATATTAATAAGCTTCATTTACCAGCTTCATATTGCTCGTATTTTACTTCAAACCGAATTGCTTTATTAGTTATTGAACGAAAACGAAGGAAAAGACGATTCCCTTGAGAGATTAATTGCTTTATTGGATTCTCATCTTTAATTTAAAATAAAATATTTTGGAATATACTCAAAACCAATCATGTGTTCTTGAGAAGATAAAGTAAATTACGAACTGAACCAAAATCTGTCTAAAGATTTACTTGAAAGTATAAATAGTATTAGTACTCCTTTTTTCTAGTTATTTATTTTTTTTCAAAAATTATTTTAGCAAATATTTAAAAAAACTTAGCAAATATAAAATGTGAAAACTTTACAATCTAATCTAGTAAAACTTTTTATTGTACATAAATATAAAATTATTACAATGATTAAACCATTTCGCATTTTTCACAACAAATCAACATTTTCACTTTCTTTGCCACATATTTCATTTAAAATTTAAACCTTTCACTTTTTATAACTTCCCTTCTTTATCTTCTCAATCTTTCCCAGTATATTCAGGAAAAACGAAACATAAAGCTTTTAACATATTTACATTTAATCATCCTTGAGGAATAATAATCTGGCCTTTATATATCATTCATCTCTAATTCTAATATTATTCTTTATTCTACCAATAAAAATTATTTAATTTTATTGAAATAAAATTACACTAAAACTTATTTTTTTACAAAAATACCTATTCTCTATTTAGAAAATTTATTTTTTTATATTTATTTTAAATATTTAATATGAGTAACCCCAACTCATCAACATCGTCTTCTTTGCAATCAAGTCCAGCTGCGCCAACAATGCCAAACACAATAATAAGAGGCGAATTTACATTATTCGGATTTGTGGATGAATTGGAGCATTTAGCGGGGAATACTCTTGAAGCAGTAATTTTTAGTTGAAATAAAATTTTTTAAATATTTGAAAAGGAAATGAACATTTGAAAATTAACTCGAGTAATCTGATTTATTGTAATATGATCTTGAAATTTTGGCAATACAATTCGATAAAGAAATTGAATCAAATAAATTTCCAATTATCGGTCCTAAATTATTTTCTACAAGATAGGGCATAGGCGTGGACATTTACAGTGTATCTTAATTCTGATAAGTGAAAATGCACTAGGAAATAAGAGTATTTCAATCAACTTATTTTAATGATGCCTATTATACCGTATTTCCTCTAAAATAGACCCACCTAAAATAAACCCCCTCTTCCATAAAATATCTAATAGTTGAGTCCCCTCAGTTGAGGACGGATTATATGTGATTACTATGATATTTGTAGACATTAATAGGTAGATAAAGAGATTTAGAAAGATATCGAGGGATTGGAGAGGATTAGGAAGGATATAGGATTTGTGAAGCTTAAAGGGGTATAGAGGGGTTGTGAGTATTAAAGGAGATATCGGAGGATTAATAGAGATTTGAGGGATCAAAGAGGATATCGAGTGGATTAGGAGGAATTTTGGGAAACAAGAGTGATAACGGTGGATTAATATATTTCTTTCCCCAAATAATCAAAACGCTAAATTTATATTTTTCTGGGTTCTTAGATACTTATTACAGCAGTGACCATGGGAGCGAAACACAATTATCCTACAAAACCTAGATATTTTAATGCTTTTTTCAGTTAACAAGCGGAGATTTGGTTATCTATCGTAGTAATCCAGGGCCTCAAGGACCTATTGTTCCAACAAATCTTCGCTTAGGTGATGCCATAGCACATGCTGAACAACGTACAATACAATCTGGCAGTCCAAAACGCGCGACAATCTTAGCTAATAATATTGTTAGATTTAATGTAAACTTTATAATAAAATTTTAGATAAAAAGAATTTTTAGGCTATTTATCAAGGCACTGAATCACATTCAGTTGGAGTAAGTTGAGAAAGAATTTACAAATAATAAAATTATTATACAATAAAAATAATTTTTAATTTAATAGTGGCCGAGACGTTAAAGAAAATGATAAAGCAGTTACTTAAAAAAATTGTAATATAATTTAAAAACAAAATTTTCTAAAATTAATTTTGAAGTTATTCATTTGAAGAGAATAAGATGGGACAACTTTAAAATCTAGGAGGAATAAACAGCTTTTTAAAGAAACTATTTTTAAATAAAAGTAAAGCATATACTAATTGTAATTTTTATATTTCCTAAAATATTAATTTAAAAATATTTTAATTATGCATCTAATAATTAAATCTTTTATTATTAAAAATTTTTATTTTTAAAGTCCATTTTATATAGATAACAAAAGGTATAAAAACTATACCCACGATTTTTGATTACTCGTTCTCCGCGAAATTATCCCCCCGTTTTGACTTCAAGTCCTAGTGAGTAACAAATTACTTTCTAATTTTCCATTAATTATTGTTCGTTCAGCAAAAAGTGAAAGAGATTAGTTCTAAAAATAAGGGAGAGAGAAAAGTACCAAAAAAATTCATTAGCTTCTGGACGTAATTTCATAGGCTTCTGGACGTATTACTTCCTCCAATTATATAAAAAATATTTAAAATATTTCTTTAATTTAAAGGTTAATTGCTGCCAAAAATTATCTTTTCTTTCTCGTTTTTAAACATTTTGAAGATTAAAATGGGATTGTGAAGATATGTATTAATGCTATTTATTTATAAAAAAAATAAATTTATTTGTTAAATTGATAAATGATTTTAAAACCAGAACTGCTTCGAAATTTAATTTTCAAGTTTTTCAAAAAAATTTAATTTTGTGTCACAAAGGCTTCAGTATTTTAATAAAAATTCCGGTTCCAAGTATCCGGTGATTTTCCAGATCAGTCAACCTATTTTAACTAAAAAAACTGCAAATTACATATTTGCCTATTTTTAATTTTTCCGATTTTCGATGATTTTTTGTTTCAAGAGAACTTTGATTTTTTGACGTTGCAATTGTAGTAACATCCCAAAATCTTTCTCGTCTTTACTACATATGCTTCTCCATCCAAATCATTTTTTAATTAAATATAAGACAGATTGGAGTATTAATTATTAAAATAAAATAATTATTATTAATAAATAAAATATTTCGTAAATTTTAAAAATCAATTACTCATTTAACAAAAACATATTTTATACAAATATGTAGATTATGTATGAACTATTTATGTTGTAATAATGGGCATACATAAAAAGATTTGCTTGTCCTTTTTTGAATGTTATTTTCGTCATAAGCCGCAAAGCGGCATATATATGATTATGCCAATAAATTAAAATTAATTAATTAAGATTAGTTTAAATTCTTATTTTTATTTAAAAAAATGTATTTAAAAATAATTATTTTAATTAAATTATTTTTATTAATATTTCCCAATTATTATTCAAAAAATATTATTAAACCTAACCAAAAAATATTAATTGAAAATTCAAAAAAAAATATAAAAGAGGATGGAAATTTATTTATTAAATTAATAAAAATGGAAATTACAAAAATGAATCAAAATAATATTAATTTAATTAATGAATATGGGGAAGTAATGGATAATTTACTAGAAATTGATATTGAAATAAATTTTGAATTAAATAATTATGATTTAATTTACATAAAAGATTTTAGTAATATAATTTTTTAAATTATTTTTTACATGTAAATAAACTCAGTCCATCGAAAAATAATATATCGGTCTTATCTTGTTATCGGTCTTATCAACATATGCTAAAACTATGTTTCTTGGACGTTTCAGAACCCAACTAGGTCAGGAAAAAAATATGGAAATCCATATAAATCCGTTCCCTACTTATGACGAAGTGTATCTCGAATAGAAAATATAGCTTAAGCAGACAAATTTTTAGAAATTACACCTTAGATTAATCTAAAAACAAAGTTTGACTCTATTAGGAGCTTTTAAGACAAGCTTCCATCTGAGTTTAAAATAATATTTATTAAATTTTTAAAAAAAAATTTTAGATAAAGCTTTAGGTGCTTGTGGTGGAGAAGGAAATAAATATTACAATAAAGATAATGTAGATATTAAAATATTAAAAGATGGCTCAGAAATAAAAATAGTTCGAATTAAAGAATTGTTTGAAGACATTGATCGTAACTCTTATAGAGACGGGATAGATATTTGTTTTAAAAAAGTAAAAAAGGGAAAGGGACATGTAAGTTTATCAGTCTGAAATTACAATCTTCTTCAACTTATTTATCTGAGTTATATGTAATTATTATTTAAAGCTGGACATCACTCTTGGGGTTTAAATAATTGTGTCTTAAATAGAGTTTAGCAACTATTAAAGTATTGCTTATATAAAACTTTAAAAATTGAGAACCAGCTTTGGTAAAATAAACCACCCTTTACAATTAATCCAGTCACATTAAATTCTATTCCATATATGCACATAACAAAATTTTTATTATAATTGTAATAATAGTTTAATTAAATTAAAGAAAATGGTAACAATTAAACCACTTTTTTATGCTAAAATAGAAGTAAATGGGACTGGTGAAGAAGATATAGAAATAATAAATGTAAATGGAATAGATACATATCTTAATGAAGCAAAAAATGTTCAACATAAATTAACAAGATTAATTTGTTATTTGAATACAGATGGACCTAAAAAATTAATTAAAAGAACAAAATATAATAATGTATTTCCCCTAAAATTATAAATATCATTTACAAATTTAAATACTCAAGAATATCCACAAATATGGACATTGATGGTTTTGATTCTGTCGAAGTCGTTCGAGGTCATGTTGCGCAATTTCTCCTCTTTTTCTGCAGTGTTGTCAAATCATGAGGTGCACTTCTTTTACTCCTTTTTAGGGTTGCCGTTTTCGATTTGAGCCGACGTTCGGTGCATTTTTTCGAGCTTGATTTTTTCGATTCGTTCGTTTATAAGCATTTCGAGCTGAGTTTCGGTTCGAGCGAGCTGGCAACCCTAATCCTCTTGCTCAAACCAATAGCTTTAAGAGTTCGACGTACGGTAGAGAGAGTTCTTGAGGCAATCTGCGAACATTTGTTGCCGGGGTACTTTATGGATATGTCACCCCCCCCCTATTTTAAGTCTCAGAGTTTTCCTTATGCGTAGGAAATGGTCAGAGATGGTCTCTTCTCCATGTCAATCATTTTTTTCTTCTTCAATGGTCTCTTCTCCATGTCAATCATTTTTTTCTTCTTCAAGTATTTTGTAGAGATGTCCGAGACTCTTGGTCTTGGTCTTGGAACCAAGACTTTTCTTGGTTTTTTTTCGGTCTTGGTCTTGGTCTTGGGGTGTTTGTCTTGGTCTTGTCTTGGTTTTATTTTTTGGTCTTGGTTTTTTGGCCTTTTTGGACCTAGTGCTTGGCCATCCAAAATCCTCAAAATTTTCGCCTGCGGCGCAGAAAATGGAAGAAATCTGGCTTCTTGAGCTCCAAAATTCAAAAAATTTTCGCCTGCGGCGCTGAAAATGTGAATTTTTTTGGCCTACGGCCTTCCAAAATTTTCAAAATTTTTGCCTGCGGCGCAGGAAAAGGAAGATTTTTGGCTTCTTTGCTTTCATAATCCTCAAAATTTTCGCCTGCGGCGCTAAATCCCACGGCTATCCCTCTTAATCTTTTGATATCACTAATATCCCGTTAATCCACCCAAACCCTCTGAAATAATAACCTATTTTATTGATTTTCCACAGAATAAATTCCCCTAAATTCTTTGAATTTCGCATAAATTTTTCGAAATTATAGATAATTGTGCTGAAGTTGACTGTGATCGTATCAAAATAACAAAAAATAAACCAAAAATTTGACCTATGGGATTTAAAAATTTGGTCTTGATTTTTGGTCTTGAGTCTTGGAGTTTTGGTCTTGGTCTTGTGTCTTGGTCTTGGAAAAAATTTTGTCTTGGGTCTTGAGTCTTGAGTCTTGGAAAAATTTCGGTCTCGGACATCTCTAGTATTTTGCTTGTTTATTTTGCCTTTTCACATATTTTGTACTTACATTTCACTCATTTCGTTTCTACATTTACCACATTTCACTTGTTTTGCTTAAAAAAGAAAAATGATTGACATGGAGAAGAAAATAATCTCTGACCATTTTCTACGTTTAAGGAAAACTCTGAGACTCAAAATAGGAGGGGGGTGACATATCCATAAAGTACCGTTGCCGGCTAATAGTTTACTTTATCAGATAATATCTCGAATAGAAAACAAAAAATAAAAACGGAAAAACTGATCATTGATGTGGATCGGTTGGTTATTCGTTCTGGGCCCGTTACATAATGGTACATTTAACAGGCACATGATAACTTTAGATATTTTAGAGGAAATACATTATAAAAAAATAAAAGAAAATAGATAAAAATATTTTTAATAAAATAATTGAAAATAGAAAAATTGGTGAAAAACAGGGATATTCTCATATAGAAATTTGTATAAATTTCAATAAAAAAGGAAATTTTTTTATTAATTTCTATTCCGAAGGAACAGAAGAGGAAATTAAATTTTTTGTTAAAATTGAAGAAGAAAATGAAGTAAAATGTGTAGTTAAAATGTTTTTTGAATTAAATGAAGTTGAGAAAAGAATTTTTAAAAATTTAAGAGAAAATTTTACAATTTATACAAACAAAGCAAAAAAAGGAAAAAAATATAAAGATGGGGAAATGTTCATTTTGGATAAAAACAGTGTGAAACAAAAATCGAAAGACCCAATTTATATTATTGAATTACACCCTTTATTTAATTTTGGAGTTTATAATTTTGAAATATTTAATGAAAATAAAATTAAAAAAAGAAAAAGAGAAGAAGATAATGAAATTGGAGAAAGTTCTAAAATTTTAAAAATAAATTAAAAAATAAGTACATATTTATTTATTTATTTATTCAATATTTTAATTGTAATTTTCCATTTTCATAAAATTTCCATTTCCTACTCTGCAATACTAAGAAAAATCAAATAGTTTTTTGATTGGACTCATATAAGTTTGATTGGACATAAGTTCATTGGACGCATAAACTAGACCAGCGCCCTTTTTCCTTTTTAATTCAAAGCACTTTGATTACTTTGATTCAAAACACTATAATTTAAATAATAAATTTAACACATAAAAATCAAAGCTCTGATCAAATTTTGTTTTATTTATATTAAGGGCGTTTTTTATAAAAAAACAATTAATTACACATTCTTAAGTTAGGATTTGAAACTATGATGAATTTACACTAGCTTATAGTAATTATTAAAAAATAAAAGCAATTTATTTTAAAAAATGTTATCAAAATATTACATAAAAAAAAATTATTAAAATCCCCCACAACAAATTATTATTTATTTCTATCATTTTAAAAAATTCTTAAAAATTAGCTTTGAAACATTGAATGCACAAATTGTTCAAAATCTAATGCCCCAGCGATTGTTCGTCCAGAAACAGCATCGACATAGGGCTTCATTCGCTTTATGCAATATTCTGCTTGTTCTGGCGTTAAATTCTGAAAAGAAATATTTAAAATAATTAAACAGAAAATTAACTTAATAATTAAATAATTTTCTCTAGCCCGTGAACATATTTCCCCGCGCCTAAAATTTTAGAGCCAAATTCAGTATACCCATATTTTCTCATAAAAATTAAAATTAATTTACAGCATAAAGCTCTTCAGCAGTAACATAAGGTCTAAGCTCTTTACTCAATGCACGGAATGCCATTTCTATTTCTTCGCTAGAACGAACATTTTCTGTCTCTTTATTTATCATAAATGCCATAAATTCTTGTAAAGTAACATAACCATCACTGAAAAGAAAACTTTTCATTAAAAAACTTTTTTCCTTTTCCCATACCGATTAGGATCAACAACATCTAAAATTCGTTGAAATTCAGGTTCGGGCTGTCCCTCATCCACCATTGGAAGATCATAGCCCAAAGCTCTCAAACAACTTTTAAATTGTTGATGATCAAGTCTTCCCAGTTTTTCCCTGTCAAAGTGTCTAAACATCATTGAAAATTCTCTTAAAGCTTCTTCAGTAACTCCAGACTGGTTACGAGCTTGAATTTGTTGTTCTAAATTGTGAAGCATTCTCATAGCTAATTGGTCTAGTTGATCCCAAGCTTGGGCTAAACCAACTGTTGAATGCTCTAAAAAATAAAAAAAAATTATGTTTGTTTATAAAAAATAGAGTAAATTTTTAAAATTATATTCTGATTGGCTTGGAGGTGTTAAAGTATAGGTGACGAAATCTTTAAAAAATTTCGGTCATCGAAATAAAAATTTTTCGAGACAATCTCGATTGATCCACAAATCCGGTCTCTATGTACATCCACTATTATATTTATCGTATTTATCAGTTAAGTACCATTCCTCGGATAAATGCCATCCCTCGATTAATTTCTCCCTTCTACGAGCCGTTAAAAGTTAATTACTTAGGGTAATTAATCAAGTAAATATTAGTAAGTTCAATTACCCGTATATCGATTATCCAAAATTAAATGCTCCTCTAAAAGTGCCCCCAAATCTTCAACTTTCTTTAGTTTTTGTCTTTGTGAACGTATATCTTGTGCTTTCTGTCTAATAGAATCCAATTGTTGTTCTAAAGATCCACTTGCTTCCATCATTTCATTTCTTGTATCAGCCAGCCATTGATGGAAATCATTTGCTTGACGAGCAAATTCTCTTCTTAATTTATCGTTATCTTCTTGTCTAAGATGTTCTTTTTGAAGTTCTAATTCACGTTCTTTTATTATCTTTTGAAGGTTTCTCCAAGTCTCTTCTAATGCATCCATTGTAAACCAAGTATACGGATTTGGGCCTACACCAAAAGACTTTATTTGTCTATCCAATTCTTGTAAAGCAATGAAATCATTTTTGGCGGTAGTTAAGGATTTTTGGAATTCAGCATGTGCCTCACGAAGTGCTCGGATTTCTTCAAGGGAATTGCAGCGGACCTTTTGAAAAAAAATTTTTTTTGTTTGATTTGAAATATGTAAGTAATTACGGGGTCAGTCAAATCCTCTTCGGCATTTTCAAACCAAGAATTAAAAGCCGAAGCTTTCTTAGCAAAAGCTAAATAAAGGTCCTCAATTCTTTCATAATGAGATTGTGCTTCAATTAATTTTTGGCGACGAGCGAGAGAATTCTGTAAAAGTTGTTGCCAACGAGTTATAACTGATTGATGACGTTTTTCAATAGCTGGGGATTGCTCATGTTCAACAGACAATAATTGGTCTTTTAATTCTGTTATACGTTGAATACCTTCGTGCTGGAAGGAAAATAAAATGATTTTGTTTGATAAATGTGTTATAAATAATTTTATTAATTTTAAATTTTTAGTGAGGGATTTTTCTATGTATATTCTCATAAGGTATGAATAAAAGGTCCGATAATTTTTTTTGTATGTCAACAAGTTTAATTTAAAAAATATTCACCTCAAAAGCATTCAATCCAGCATCAAAAGCATCTTGTTTATTTAACAATAATTGGACAGAAGACAAATCTTTTCCAAAATCTGGAGATCTAACATGATGTTCTTTGTCTCCAATCCAACTCTCAACAACATCACATTTCCACATAAACTGCATATAAGCATTATTATCTCGTAATTTTTGGAGACGTTGGGCTGCTAATTCTCTGACGAGTAATAAATGTTTTTGAAGTTGTTCTAGGCGTAAAGAAATATTTTTTGAATGATGATTGCCTGCTTCAATAAGCTTAAAAAAGAGATTTAAGGGAAATTTTTAAAGTGTTTTTACTTCATCCCCTTGTCGTTGAAGATCATCAATTCTTTGTTCATGTACTTGCAAATCTAATTGAAAAGTATCATGTTTCTTTAACAATCCTTGGACGGCAGCCATATTTTCCCCTAATGCTGGCGAGGAAAGTAATTGCTGTTTTTCATTTAGCCAGGCCTCTTCTTCTTCTAAACGGCCAATAAAATTTTGGAATTGTTCACTTTCTTGAAGTTTTTGATGACGATTCTCTGTTAAATCAACAATTTGTTGCCAGCTATCTTCTAGTGCCTTTAAATAAGAAAAAATAAATTTCCTTATGCTTCTCATATAAACTCACTTGAATTCGTTTTTGTATTTCGGGAGCCCCAACTTCACTAGCTTGTAGAAGCTCAACAGCTTTAGATCTAACATGCTGTACTTGTGGTTGGTGGCTAGCTAATTCAGTATCGAGTCTACGGTGTTTTCTACGCAAATTTTGTACTCCTGTTAAATCACGGCCATAATCATCGCTGCTAACAAGTAATTTCTTTTCCTTTAAAATTAGTGAAATTATGAATAATAATTCAATAATCACTTGAAATTTTAATTATTTTATTTTATAATTTTCAATTCTGACAATACTAATATTTTTTCATCCCCTCCTCACCTTAATCCAAGATTCTTCTTCATCAATATCTCTAAGGAATTGATGAACAGTAATTGCTTTATTTAATTTTTCTCTTCTTTGTTTAGCCATTTCCTTAACATTTGCATATCTTCTAGTAATTCCTTGCCTTCTTGTATCGATAGAATCTCTATCAAATTGATCAGCCTCCATTAATGCCTCAGCCTGTCCATTTACATCCGCAACACGATCAGCATGTGCATTAATATCAGCTTCTAATAATTGATGCTTTTTCAATAAATTCTCAATAGAAGCCAAATCCCGGCCTGTATCCTCGCTACTCAAAAGTGTCTCAACCTAAATATTTTTTTGGGAATTAGAAATATTTTGCCTATTTTATTCACCTCTCCAAGCCAAAATTCCAAATCCTTCACTGCTGCCATAAATGTTTTTTGTTTATTAGCCTCTTTCAATCGGGCACTTTTCTCTGTACTTGTTTTAACCAACAATTCCCACTGATCATTTAAAGCATTTAAACGTTGAGAGACGGCATCCTCTCCCCCACCACATTTTGCGGCACTTATTAAATTTTGACCGGCAGAAATTATAGTAGCAATACGATCTGCATTTGCGGAAAGTTCAGCTTCAAATGCTTGTTGTTTTTGATGCTTTTGTTGAATATTTGTAGGATCGCGATAATCAGCTTCCTAAATAAATCGTTTGAAACTTTTAATTTTTTTTGAAATTTTCTTCCACCTGCGCAACTTGAAACTTTTCAGATATCCAATTCTCAACTTCATCGGCATCACGAGAAAATTGTTGTAGTGTCTGAGATTCGCCAAGTTGGGAACGCTTTTCAATTAAACGTTCTTTAAGTCTGTCCCAACGATCAAAGATTTGTTCACGTTTTGTATCTAAAAATTATTTTTTAAAATTATTTTTAATAAATTCGTTTACTAATTGCAGGCTTTGCATAATGCTCAGAAGCAACTAATTGTTTTGCTAGTTGATCCAAATTATTTAATTTTTCTTGTTGTGAAGCAATAGCTTTATCAAAATCTTCATGTTTTTTAATTAGAGATTCAACATTATCTCCAGTCGGGTCCTCTTGAGCGAGAAAAGCTTCTCGAGCACTCATCCAAGTATCGCATTGTTCACAATCGCGATAGAAAAGTTGAAGTTCAAGACATTGATCAAGTATTTTTCTACGTTGTACCCAAGCATCTTCTAGACGTTTACGAGCCTTTATAAAAATAATAAGATAATTTATCAGTCAATTTTTCCCTTCTAACTTCATTAACGTCATCCATTCTTTGACGAACATCCTCAGCTGCATAATGCCCACTTCGAATTAGTTGATTCCCAAATTGTTCAAATGAATGAAAAGTAGCTGCCCTAGCATCTATTTCAGTTCTATAGTCTTGATGTCTCTCAAGAAGTGCCTCAGCACCTGTCACATCATTTGCAAGTTCATCACTAGAGACTAAATTAACCATTCCATCAATCCACTGAATTAAATCACGATAATCACTAAGGAAACGTTGATAATCTGAATTGGAAATTAAAAAAATAATTTTTAAAGTTTTGTTATCACCATAATTATCTAATAATTTATCTTTTCGTCTATTAGCTTTTTGTGTTAAAGTAGTCCATTGATCATTTAATTGCCGTTGTAAATCATAGATTTGCTCAGCCGCCTCAGGGTGTGTTTGACGTAAACGATTGGCCTAATAAATAAAAATTACTTTTAAAAAAGCATTTAAATTTTCCAACTTTTTCATCCAAAGCACGTATTTTATCCCCTAAAGCAGCCAAATCCCTTTCAACGCCCTCATGTTTCCTTTGTAGAGCTTGGACTGAACGAAGATCACGACCAAAATCTTCAGTATCCAAAGCTTCATTCTTTTCTTGTATCCAATCCCTCGTCTCCTCCACATCTTTATGGAAACGTTGAACTTCATGTGCCGATTCTAATTGTTGTCCTCTCTGTTCCGCCTTTTGTTCTAAAGCCTTCCAACGAGCATTTAAATCATCAATTTGTTGGCGGATACGAACAGCTGTTTCTGTTTGACCAGTTTGTGAGAGTCTTTTAAATTAATATTTGAAAAATAAATTTTTTTGAAAGTTCACCTTGTAGCAATTTGATTCATTTCTTGTAATCTAACTTCATTTGCTTTCAAGTCACACTTAAAGTCATTGAATTTCGTTTGTAAAACTTCTACATGTTCCAAGTCTTGGCCAATTTCCTGTTGAGAAGCAACAGTTTCTCGCGACTTTATCCACTCTGCGAGGTCATTTGCTTCGCGTAACAATTGGTAGGCTTTAAATAAAAGGGGTTTAAAGATAATTTTAGGATTGTTGTCTAAACAACCTTTGCAAGCCTCTTCAAGTTTTCTCTTTCGCTGATCACCCAAAACCATTAAACGTTGGTACTGATCTTCAATTTGACTTTGTTTCGCGTTTATAGTGTTTACAGGTTGGCCAGCAGTTGCTTGGTGGTGATGTTGAGAACCAGGCTCGATATATTTAACATAGGCAGCTGGTACAAACCCTTGACGATCTTGAACTTCCACCTTCCACCAATCTTTGTTAGAAGAATTTAAAAGGGTTAGAACATCTCCTTTCTTCATAGAAACTTCTCGTGGTGACTAAAAAAATTTTTAAAAAAATACTTTTTTGTAAATATTCAATTCTACTTTTTCTGTATATTCATATAAAGCTACAACACATTCATTCCCAAGTTGTCCACCCAATTGCTCCTGATACTTGCATTGTCCAGCCTCTCTTCTCAATTCATCAATTGTTGCACGAAAAGCATCTAAATCACTCATTAATGCCCGATGTTTTTTCATTAAAGATTCAGCACTGTCCTCATCTTTTCCATAATCTGTACTTCCAACAATTGGTTCTTTGTCTCTCATCTAATGAGGAAAAATGAATAATTTTCAGAAAAAAAATTAATTTTTACCCAAGAATCAGCTTCACTAGCATCTGCCAAATATTGATGAGCTTGTAAAGAGTCTTGCAAGTCTTGTTTGCGTTTTTCTGCTTTAGTTTTCAATGCACGCCAGTTATCGCGGAGTTGGGCCAACTTAAAATAAATCAGTCAGTTAGAAACTTAAACCCCTCCCATTACCATTTCCCGAATATCAGGGGCTAGAAAATGTCCTCTTTGTATCATTTGTTCAGCAGCATTTCCGACTTGCTCAATTTGTGGTTCATGATTAGTAATTTCAACCATTAAAGCGTTTTGCTTTTTTATTAAATTTTGAACACCAACAAGATCACGGCCGCGGTTTGTGGAGGAGGCAATTTGTTCCTAAAGAAAATAGTACATAAGTTAATTCGTAAATTTATACAGGCCCTTTTCCTACAATAAAGGAGCCCTAAATCTAATTTTCTGATCACCTAATTTATACTTTATTAATATATCCAATATCAAGCGCTAACAACATAATTATCCAAATTCAACGCTTATTCGAGTTCATACCAGTGTTGCCGCGGGTACAAAAAATCTTCGGGTACGGGTTTCGGTATAAAATTTTCTTTTCGGGTATCGGTTTTCGGGTACAAAAAAAGGATGGGTTTCGGGCGGCAACCCTGGTCCATACAGTAATCTCACTCTCCTTTACCTTTTCTCTAATCCAAGTTAATTCATCATCAATGTCTCTAAACAATAAATGTCCGACCAAAGATTCACCCAATTTATTTTTTCTTCTTTGTAACGGGTCAAGTAATGCCTCAAAACGTTGCTGCAATCCTTGTTGTTTTTTGACAATTTGTGGGGCATTAAAATGCCCAATAGATTCAAATTCACGTGCTTGTTGTCCAATTGTATCCAAACGTTCACTATGAGCGTTGTAATCCGCCTCTACAAGTGCCAGCTTTTTTTGAAGATTTTGGACGGTATTTAAATTTTTGCCAAAATCTTCACTGGCAAGTTTACGTTCTAATTCTCCTAACCAAAGTTCTACATCCTCAACATTTCGATTAAATAATTGTTCCTTTAAAAAGAATTTGAAGTATTATGTACTTTAATTAATTCACTTGATTAGCCTCTTGTAATTTAGCTCCTTTCAAAGCACTAGCTTCCACAAGTTGGGCCCACAATTGTTCAACTTCTTCAAGTCTCGTTTGTATTTGCTCGTTTGCATAATGTCCAAGTGCAACTAATTCTTGCCCTGTTGCTTTAATTTCATCTAAACGATTGGAATTTGCACGGAGTTCCTGTTCAAAATTAGCATGTTTTTGTAATTTTCCACGAATATTTGTTGGATCTAGATAGCTCTGATCTTGTGCAGTTTTTAATTTTTCATTCATCCACCCAAGCATTTCATCACAATCCCGATCAAAACTGTGAAGTCTATACGATTCTTTCAATTTTTCTCTTCTCTCCGCCGTTAATTCCATTAAACGTCTTCTTCTTGACAACAATTTCTCTCTTCTAGCAGCAACATCATCAGCTGCATAATGCCCTCCCTCAATAAGTTTTGTAGCAAATTCATCTAAAGCGTGTATTTTTTCTTCTTGTGCTGCCAAAGATTTTTCAAAATCTTCGTGTTTCTTTAATAAAGACTCGACAGCATCCAAAGAATCCCCCAAATCTCTATTTTGAAGAAATGCTTCTTGTTTGTTCATCCAAGTTTCAGCTTGTTCTGTGTCCCTTAAAAAATAAATTTTATTTCAGAAAATTCAAAAAACTAACCGATAAAATAATTGCAAATCCATACATTGTTCATACAAAATTCTTCTTTCCTCCCACAAATTTTTAAGACTAGCTTGGTCATTTGCCAAACGTTGCAAACACTGTCTAATTTCCTCAGATTGTTCAATACCTTCATCAAGTAATTTTTGTCCAGTTTCTGCAGTTTGAATGAAAGAATCATTACGAGCATCAATTTCGCCTTTATGTTCTTGGTGTTGTTCAAGAAGAGCTTCGGCACCGGCTACGTCTTTGGCTAATTCCGCTGACTCAATGAGAACCTTAATTTTTATTGTAAACGAAATAGTGAAAGGTTATTGTGTGACTATACAGGTTATTATGACCACTATTACCCATTTTTCGAAATAAATGCCAATCCCCTCTTTTATCTCCTAATCATTCCCAATTTTTACCTTAATTCCCTCAATCCAATCACAAAGTTCTCTATAATCAGCCATAAATCTATGACGATTATAAGAACGGTCCAAAGCTCGTTTTCTCTCCTCAGCACTTTGTTTAAGTGCTTCCCATCTTATTTTAGCCTCATCAGTTTTTGTAGAAATTTCTTTTGATTTTTCTGGATAAAGTTGACAAAGACGGTCTGCTTCAGTTTCTAACTTTTCCATCTTTAAATTAATAAATATTTTTCTAAAAATTATTTTTAAACTTTAGATTCAAGTGCAGCCAAATCTCTCTCAGTTCCCTCATGTTTTCTTTGTAATGCTTGAACATTATTTAAATCTCTTCCATAATCATTAGTTGCTAATGTTGATTCTTTTTCGCCAATCCAAGCCAAAGTTTCGTCAATATCACGATAAAAGCGTTGAATTTGTTGAGCACCAAAAAGAGCTTCACGTCTGGAAATGAAGTTTAAGAGAATTAATTGAAATTTTTTATTTGAGAGATGTGATAATAAGCCTTAACGACTACAAATATTCTTAAGTAAAATTTTTAGACAGAAAATAATTTTCGTTGAGCTTATGGAGTTAAGGTAGAAAATGCCGATCCCATAGACAGCCTAACTGTTTATACTCAAATAATATCACGTAATTTCTGTTTCTAAAACAAAATCCTCTCTCTCCCCCCTCCCCTCCAAATATTTCCACACCTTGTAGCAGTCAAAGTCCCAAGTTTGTGCCAAGCTTCATTGACATCATCTCTTTTTGCATTTATTTGTTGTTGTTCTGGATGTCCTTCATCAATTAAAGCATTAGCTTCTTGATTTATATCTAAAACTCTAGATTGATGACTATCCAGTTCTTTTAAAAATTCATCAAATTTTCTTTGCATTACTTCAACGTGTTCCAAATCTGAGCCCATATCATCAGAAGAGACAAATGCTATCTACAAATATTTATTTTTTTATTAATCTCAGTGTTAAGTGTATATTTTTGGTAGCTGTCCAACTTTGTTTGGCTAACATAGTTTACAATCACTCACTCAATTATGAGAAGTAAAAACTGGACTAATTTATAAAATTATAAAGTTATCTCCTATCATTTTATGTATTATAGGAATAATTTGCATAATTTTATTATGAAAGATGGATAATAATAATTTTCCATCTTATTGTTACAACAGGCAAAAAAGGATCAACTTAATATTTTATGGATTTGAATTTAAAAAATTTGAAAAACCCAAGCATTTCTGTTGTGTCCACAAGTACGAACACAATACTCTTCCATAATTTACCTTATCCTTAATCCAATATAACATTTCATCACATTTTCTCATAAACTGCAATAATTTCAATGCTTGTTGTAATTTAATTCCTTTATTATCAAGCATCGAGAATAATCTGTCCCAAAGTTCATGAAGACGATCTAAACGTTTTCTAATTGTTTCTTTCTCATAATGCCCATGTTGTATCATATCATTCCCAGTTTTATCTAATTTTGTTATTGCATTAGAATGTGCCTTTAATTTAAATTTAAGAAAGGAATTGTTGACAGAAGTAACCTGAACTTCAGCAACAAAAGCTTCGTGTTTTTGGATTTTAGCTTGAAGATTTGTTGGATCCCGAAAGGATTCTTCCTTAAAAGATTTGGAATTTTTAGTTAAGGAGGGAGAAAGGTCTGATTATTAAATATGCCCACTTTAAGGGGGAAAAGGGAGGAGAGGGGGAGAGAATGATATTCAAGAGGGAGCAGGCCAAGGTAACGCAAGGCCAACGTACCGCATAACTTTGTTCAAAATTGTCAAATCCGGGATGCCCTGGTATGTTTCGATTCAGCTCGTCGAGGCGCATCGAACCATACCAGTGCGTCTCGGATTTCGACAAGTTTGAAGAAAGTTATAGCTCGGCGGTACATTGACCTTGCGGTTCCTTGGGGTGTACCCTATTCAAGATTATCCAATTAACTAATACCAAAAATATCATCTAAATTTACGGTTCCCCTCAATTAATATTGACAAAATATACTTTAAATAAAATTATTTTTTAGCTTCTTAATTAATTTAAAATTAACCGCAGCTGTCTGTAACTTTTCTAAAATCCAAATTTCCAACTCGTCAGCATCCCTTTTAAAATATTGAAATTGTCTAGCTTCTTCTAAACGATCTCTTTTAGTTTTTGCAAAATCTTTAAATTGGACATAATGGTCCAAAACTTCAGTTCTTCTTTGTTGTATATCATCAGCACTTTCTAATATTTTTATATCTTTTGGTGGGGGGACTTCCAAAACTGGATCTGGTGGTGGACCTATATCACTAGTTTCATAGCTCATTTTTAAAAATATTTTTCTGAAGTTTTAATGTAAAAATTAACAAATTTATTTGGATTTATCTACTAATAATACGTGTGTATATTTTGTAAATTATTGTTTAAGAACAAAGGGGGCAACTGAGTGCGAATAAATTAAATTACCTACATATTTTTCAATGGACTATTTTTTATCGGGACAATTTAATAAATTAAATAAAAAAACGTTTATTGTTAGAATATCTACTACATATAATGGGAAAATGGCACATATGGTACTAATATGCATAGATTAACTAACATAAGGATATTTACAAGGGTGTACGGAATTTTCGTCTCTGGAAATTTCGTCTCCAAGACTTTTCGGAACTTTCGTCTCCAACATTTTCGGAATTTTCGTCTCTAGCGGAATATTCGTCACCAAGAAAATAATCGGAATTTTCGTCTCCGCAATTTTCGTCTCCGCTAGGAATTTTCGTCTCCAGAGAAAAACTTATCAGTTGACGGAGCAACTTCCCCCGTTGATGGAACAACTTCCCCCGTTGACGGAACACTATCCCCCGTGACGGAACAACTTCCCGCGTTGACGGGGTAGTTGTTTTATCAACGGGGGAAGTTATCCTGACAACGGGGGGAGTTGTTCCATCAACAAGGGAAGTTGTCCTGTCAACGGGTGAAGTTGTCCGTCAACGGGGGAAGTTGCTCCGTCAACTGGTAAGTTTTCCTTTGGAGACGAAAATTCCTATCGGAGACGAAAATTGCGGAGACGAAAATTCCGATTATTTCCTTGGTGACGAATATTCCGCTGGAGACGAAAATTCCAAAAATGTTGGAGACGAAAGTTCCGTAAAGTCTTGGAGACGAAATTTCCAGAGACGAAAATTCCGGCACCCATTTACAAGTCGAAGTCCCATTGGAGAAGCATGTTCACGGAATATTGTCAGTATCCGTGAACATGCTCAGTTGTAAAAATTTTGTCTGAGATCTTAAAGATTTCAACAATTTCGAAACTCTAATAAACTTTGGAAAGATTTTTTAATAAAAAACAAAAAAATAATATTTTTGGAGAAATTTAAAGCTTTTTTTAGCTTGCTTAAAGGTCCTTTTGGACGGAAAAGCAGTCAAAAAATCGAATATTTTGAGAAGAGATATACTAGCAATAGTAAAAATGTTTGTGTGTATAGGCTGACACAAACAAACACAAAACATTACTAAAGAATGTTAAAACAAAAAAATATTTTGAGAAAAATTGTGGAAATACTAAAAGAATTGAGGGTATTTTTAAATATTGTGTAGGACACTTCCTGAATAAAAATAAGAAAAATTTGGAGTTTTAAAGGGGGGTTGTTGTTTTAAATCCTATTTTCTAACCCTCATATTTAGTCTTCAAATATTCAAAATATATTTAATGTTTTGATGACCGGCAAGGTTTGGGTATTTGTTGGGAATGGATGACCTCGATTTTGGCAGCGGAAAGCAGTCACAGCCTTGCTAGAGTTATTCGTTTAATCGATAAACCTTTAAAGAGAAAATTGCATTCCAAAAATGTAGTAACCATACAAAAGTAAAATTTAAAATAAAAAAAACAATTGTGGATAATTAGAAAACTACCCGGTACTTAAGAAGTGGAAAAGGTTGTTTGGAATTAATGGAACCTAACATTGAAATTTTTCTCAATTAATCCCTCTCATTTTTTGGAACATCCAAAAGGATATCAATGGGAGGACTAAACTTGACAAGAGACGGAAATTTCATTTTTCTGTAAAATACAAATTTTCTAATTAAAATTTTGAATTTTTTTTTAAATTTATTCATTAACAAATGACCTTAACAGATAAAACTTAACAGTCAAAAGACAACATAATTTCCAACTTTTTCAATATTATCCTTTTTAACGGTTAGATTTTGCAACTCGCTCCAATTCGTCCTTCTTCTTGATAGCATATGAATTGCTCGAACCTTTTGCCGCGTTAATTAACTCATCAGCCAAACATTCAGCAATTGTTTTGATATTACGGAAAGAAGCTTCACGAGACCCAGTACATAAAAGCCAAATCGCCTAAAAATTTTAGGTACTTATGAAGATGGAGGTGCCCTTTCTGCGGACTTTTCTTCCTTTCTTTCTAAATGTTTTGGTTGTTTTGCTTTCAGCAAGTTTTGCTCGTAGCAATTAACTGTCAAAGGATTATTTTTTATGCCAATTTGAAAAATATGTGTTCACGATTAATTTGAATATATAAGCGTAAAAATGTTACAATCAATTAAAAATTTTACTTTAACTAAAATTTCAATTACTCGATGATGAATTTCGACTATGGATCACTGATCTCGGAGCAATTAACTCTGTTTGAGCTTTGGCAGCACTGATCTCGGAATACTTCATAGAAAAAGAATATGTTATTGTGGAACAGAAATGCGGGTAATTTCAAACCTTGTCCCCCCCCCCCCCCCCCCCCCCATTATTTTTATTACCTAAGATTGTACAAAATGGTCAGATTTCCTTCTTTCCTCTGTTTGAGCTTGGCATATTCAAATAAGAGATATTGTTGATAAAGAGAAGATTAAAATTAATTGAGTTGTTCAATATTTTAAAATAGAAGTAAGAATGTAATGTTTTTACAAAGAAATTCATAATGTTATACACCAAATCAATTTTATTTAATTCTTTTTTTTTGTTTAAATTGTTTTCGAAGGCAAAAAATAAGTGTATGATTATAAAATTAATCTTCTCTTCATCAATGTCTCTTGTTTGAATTTGCCACAGGGCAAATAGAGGAAGGAGAGGAAGAAGAAAATCTGACCTTTATGTACAATCTTAGGTAAGAAGAATAATGGGGGAGTGGCGTTGACAGTTAGTTGCTACAAGTAAAACATTTAAAAGAAGGGAAGAAAAGTCCGCAAAAAAAGTCCGCAGAAAGGGCACCTCCATCTTCATAAGTACCAAATTTTAGAATTAAATTTTTGTTCGGCAATTTATATAAAAATATATTTGGATCGAAATCAAAGGATTTTTAGGCTTTAAAAAATTTAGCTGTTTAAAATCCCTTAGAAAATTTTCCAAACAAGAACCTGATTAACACGACGAAGAGGCGAAACATCAACAGCTTGACGACGAACAGTTCCAGCACGACCTATACGAGTAGAATCCTCCCGTGGTCCTCCATTGATAACAGCACCAACAAGTATTTGAACTGGATTCTATAAAATATTTTTAATGAAAATTTAAAAGAAATAAAGAAATCAGGAAAAGGTAATATCCAAAATCGAATCCTCACCAAATGAATCTTCGCTGGAAAAACTTTGTGCTGCTACGGAGGGTATACCGGTCATGGTCTTCGATACGCGATGTCCGTACTTTGTTGCGGTCATGCTCGCTTTGGCGACTTGGCTTACTCCGCAGCAGCAAAAACTTTTCTCCGCGGAGGCCTTATGTAAGGGGTTACATAAACTTTTCCACATCTAAAATCCCCCGGTAAAATGTAGTTGAGCCCAATAAGTTTCTGGTTCATTAGATTCGACTCGGTTCCGGATATTCGGAAACAAAAATTTCGGGCTGATAGATAAAATAAACTAATGACTTCATATGACTGAAAAATCGTCCAAATTTATTTAAAACAATAAATCCCTAATTTGTACATATAAAAAAGTAAAAAAACCTCTCCAGTTAAAATATGTATAATCTCAAAAGCGTGCTTCACAATCCGAACAGCCATTAACTTTTTACCATTATTACGTCCATGCATCATCATCGAACAAACCAAACGTTCAACAATCGGACAATGCGCCTTTCGAAAACGCTTGATTTGATAACGACCAGCACTGTGTGGCAAATATTTGGCATATTTGTCTTTAACAGCAATATAATCCTACAAAAATATTTTTAAAAATTCAAAACAAAATTAGAAATATAAAACCACTAAAGAAGCATCATTAACTTCGATATCGCTCAAAGACCATTTACCAAACAATTTAATTTCAGGAAAATCAATTGTAGTCATTTGCATATCCCCTTGTCCACCAGCAACATCTTCCGTGGCCCAATTATCCTCAGCGGGTGCAAAACCATCTGCGGGCGGTGCAAAATCATCAGCCATTTTTTAATTTTTTATTTAAACTAAAATATTTATCTAAATATGTATGTGGATAATTAGTAGCAAATAAGACGATATTTTACTATTAACTTATATCATTAACCCTTTTGAGGAAATAAAACTTCAGAAAAAGTTCTAGAGTTAGTACCAGAAATTATAATTTCGACCAGAATCCAAAAGTATTAAATGAAAAAATTCTCTAAAATTCCACAGTACATTACAAAAATGAAAAAAAAACTGAGTACGGCCCAAGTAGGCGCGACCAAGTAGGCGCAGGCCAAGTAGTCTTCGAAAATCGGAAATCTAAAATCAAAAGAAATCCAAAAATATCGAAATCAAAAGTCGAAATTTTACGAAAAAATTCGAAAATTGGAAATTCCGGTCAAATTGGATCCAGATTCGGTTCCGGTTAAAATATCGGTTCCGGTGCAAAACTACTTTTGCTACTTCGCGACGAAGTGGCCCGCGACTAAATGGGCCTGCGACTAAGTGTCCGTGTATCGTTCGTTTCAAAGTCTCAAAAATATTCCTTCCTTTTCGTTATTGTAACAAAAATTTTTTATTTCGAAAAAATTAAATATTTATTTAAGCTATTTATTAATGGGAAAAGAACAATTTAAGGAGGCTGATACATCTCGTAAAGTGTATGTAATTTAACTTTAAAAATATTTAAAATTTTAAATTTTAAGTATTGGAGTGAAATTCACGGCAGGAAATACAGAATTAATTAGACAAGCAGCGCATATCCAAATATTTAATAACCGACTTTATGAAGATGTACAAGGAAAATGGCTTCCTGCTCAATATGGACCTCTTGATAGTCGACTGGTATTTTTTTAAATTATTTTTTAATGAATTTTTGGTAATACCAAGGCTGGCCCCCCTTTTTTCTGTTCTATTTTTTTATTTTCTATGGCAAATTATATCCATTCGGAAGAGCTCTTTGAGCGAATCGAACGGTACTAATATCTTAGAAATCAGGCCTAAATCTACAATGATATATTGTAAATTGTATGTCTAGCAAAAAAGCTCAAAATGGTCAGGGAAACAAAAAAAAAGGGGGGGGGGGAAGCCTTGGTATTACCGAATTCTTTTCAGGGAACATTTCAAAAATCACTTAATTGCCAAACATGTAACAAAAATATGAATGATTGTGTTGGACATTTTGGATTTATTGACCTTGAATATCCTGTCTTTCATGTTGGATTCTTTCGTTTAATTATTCAAACTCTTCAATGTATTTGTAAAGTAATTTGTTTGGGAAATTTTATTTTTTTAAATTAATCTCTAATTTTGAAGGGTTGCAGTCAAACTCTTTTACAAGAAGAACAAAAATCTTTACTTTTACGACAGGCATCTAATCCAAATCTTGATTATTTACGCAAAAAGGCATTGCAGAAGAAGATTGTTACTTTGAGCAAAAAAATTAGTATGTGCACAAAATGCGGATTTTTAAATGGTAATTAATGTATTATTTTTAAATTTTATATAATGAGTATTGAGGTAATAGAAATATAAAATAAAGCATGATAACTTGATTAATATTATATTACAATTTTGTTTCTTTTTCATTAAATATGCCCTATAAGTTTTAGATTACTTTTCAATATCACTCCAAATTTTTTCTTGAATCGTCTTATATTAGTATTTTTTTTTCCAAAAAATAAAATAATATTTTTTAGATATTTTAAATTAATTTAAGGTGTCGTCAAAAAAGCTGTCGGTTCTGTTTTAAAAATTGCACACCATGAACCACTTTCTGCTGAAATATTGGCAGCCGTTGAAGACAGAAATGAGCTACAACAATTACTTTCTAGTTCAAAACAAAATTTACTTGATCCCTTAAAAGTTATGGAAATTTTTAAAAGAATTGATTTAAAAGTAAAATAAACATTTAAAATTAATTTTAAAATTAAATTTAAGGATTTACCATTATTAATGATTGGGGCAGATGAATGTAAACATCCATTACATTTTTTGAATCAAAGAATTCCTGTTCCACCTGTGTGTATTCGACCGTCGGTTGTTTCTGAATTAAAATCTGGATCTAATGAAGTAATTTTGATTTTTTCAACATTTTTTTAAAAATTCTTTAGGATGACATTACAATGAAATTGACTGAAATTATGTTAATTAACGACATTCTCAAGAAGCATAAAAAAGATGGAGCGCCAATGAAAACAATTTGTGAAACATGGGATCATTTACAGGTATTTAATTTTAATTATCTTATTTTAAAATTTAATTTTTAAGGTTCAATGTGCTCTTTATATAAATTCTGAAATGAGTGGACTTCCTCCAGAAATGCAACCAAAAAAGTTTTTACGCTCATTTGCTCAACGTTTAAAAGGGAAACATGGTCGTTTTCGTGGTAATTTGTCTGGTAAACGAGTGGATTTCACTGCAAGAACTGTTATTTCACCAGATCCGAACCTAAAGGTCTGAAAAAATTTAAACGATTAGCGTTATAAAATAGAATTTTTTGAATTACTTTTTCTCATTTCCCTTCTAATCGAAACTTTTATGTTGTTTATTAAAATAATTTCCCAAGTAGATTGATCAAGTTGGAGTTCCCTTACAAGTTGCAATGACTCTTACATTTCCTGAGGTTGTATGTCGTTCAAATATTGAAAGATTACGAAAGGCTGTAATTAATGGGGAATTAGTTCACCCTGGTGCTAATCAGATAATTGATTGTAAAACTGGAAATAAACGCTCTTTAAGGTTAACTTTTATCAAATTAAATAAGATGTTCTTCTTTAGATATGGAAATCGTGCTATTACTGCAAAAAATTTACAAATTGGTGATATTGTTGAGGTTTGCTTTTTAAAGTATTATTGAGATTAGAGGTCTGCTGTAAGTGTTTTATCTTCTGGTTAATGTTTATTGGAGGAGGAGAGGGTATAGGGATAAGAACGATAAAAAAGGCGCCAAATTTAGGAGTATATGCATACTAGCGATCGAGCTGGGTTTGGATTTGGACCAAGGTCTCGGTTTTTCCTGTACATAGAGTTCAGGACCAGGCATTTTGTGAGTTCCTGGACTACAGGCCCTGGCTTTTCAAAAATCTCGATCACTAATGCATACATACTCCATTTTTAATTATTCTTTTGTTTATTTCTGATAAAGTTTTTGCGTATGCATAGTTGCATTTGAACTTTTAAAATATAACATGATATTAATAAATATTTTTAGCGTCATTTGTCAGATGGAGATGTTGTTCTTTTCAACAGACAACCTTCTTTACATAAAATTAGTATAATGTCTCATCGTGTTAAAGTTATGCCATACAGGACTTTCAGGCATTTTTAATTTTTATTTATGTTGATTTTTTATGCAACATTAGATTTAATGAATGTGCTTGTACTCCTTACAATGCTGATTTTGATGGTGATGAAATGAATGTGCATTTTCCACAAACATATGAAGCAAAAGCAGAATCATCGCTTCTTATGGGCGTTAAGCATAATTTGGTTAGTCCTCGTGCTGGACAGCCTTTAATAGCTGCAATTCAGGGTAATTGTGATTTTTAAATTTTTTTATAATTAGAAATTTCTAAACTTTTTTTAGATTTTATCACAGCTGGTCATTTACTTACAAAAAAGGATACATTTTTAACGCATAGTGAAGTTCAACGAATTTCTGCTACACTTCTCGACATTACAGAAATAAATCAAAGAAAGATAAGATTGCCACCACCTGCTATAATTTGGCCAATTAAATTATGGACTGGAAAGCAAGTTAGAAAGGATACTTTTTTAAAACTTATAAAAATTTTATTTTTTAGTTAATCGAGTTGGTAATTGCACCTTTCGTTGATTCAAATGTTCGATTAAATTTGTCAACTAAAAATAAAATTCATAATCCAGATGATGGAGAATTTACTCATAAAGTCAGTTTTTATTTATTTTTAAGATTAGGGGAAAATAATTTTGAGTTTTAAATTTAAATTCAACTAACATGGAAATTATCTCAAATTTCTCCTTACAATTAAGGTATTATTAAAATAATTTTTAAAGGATACCTTTGTTATTATTCGAAATAATCAACTACTTTGCGGTTCACTTGACAAAACTCTTTTGGGGTCTGAAAGCAAAACATCTATTTTCTATACCCTCCTTCGTGATTGGGGCGAACAGCATGCAATTGATGCTATGTGGAGGTTAGCTCGCTTTTCTGGCGTTTACCTATCAAATCGTGGATTTTCTATCGGTAAAAATCTTTACAAAATTCTAAAACCTCTAATTATTCAAATTTTCTGTTAAAACTCTTTCATTTATTTTAATTTTGTTAAATTGAATATTAAAGGCATTGGTGATGTTAGGCCAAACCAACAACTTTTGGACGAAAAACGCATACTTCTCGAGAATGGATACAAAACTTGTGATCAATTAAATAAAACAATGAAAATGGAAAAACAGAAAACAAAACCAGATTTTGGCTTGGTGGAAGAATTGGAAGCAAAAATTTTGAAAGAACTTTCTAATATTCGTGATCAAGCAGGAAAGGCATGTCGTGAATTTTTGAGGTAAAATCAACTTTTTTTAAAATTATACACCATATTTTTGTGATTTTTAAAATATCTTTAAAATATTATTCTTGTATAGTAAAAACAATACTCCACTCACTATGGCACAATGTGGATCTAAAGGCTCATTTATCAATATTGCTCAAATGATTGCACTTGTCGGGCAACAGTCAATTTCTGGAAAAAGGCCTTCTGATGGATTTGAGGCAATTTTTCAATAATATTTTTGTTATTTCTTTACTTATTTTTAGAATCGCTCATTACCCCATTTCGAACAAAATGATCGATCTCCAGATGCTAAGGGGTTCGTAGAAAATTCTTTCTACTCCGGACTTACTCCAACAGAATTTATCTTTCACACAATGGGTGGTCGTGAAGGTTTGGTTGATACAGCAGTAAAGACGGCAGAAACTGGTTATATGCAGCGAAGATTAGTCAAATGTTTGGAGGTTATATTTTAATATTTTTTTCTCTTAATCTTTTTCTTCGTTATGCAATTGTTAAAAGAACATGGTGAAAAGTACTAATATTTATTTTTATAGGATTTAGTTGTATCTTATGACAACACAGTTCGAACATCAACAAATGAAGTAGTACAGTTTGTATTTGGCGATGATGGACTTGATCCGTCTTATATGGAAGCTCGTGATGGAAAATTGTTAGATTTGTCGCATCTTCTCAATCAAGTTAAAAGTACTCAAAAGTAAAATTTTAAAATTTTCTTTTAATTATTTTCTACTTAAAAAAATTTTTTAGAGAATTATCTTTACAAACTGATTACCCTAATGATGCTTCTGTATATGAATTAGATAGTCTTGATATTATACGTAAAGAAATTGATTTATCACTTGCTTCAATACAAAACGAGATAAAAGACACAAAAACCAAACAATTATTGGTTACAAACAAATTCGCCGATGGACTTTATGATTTTATTTGCAAACATTTTAACGCAAACAAAAAACTTTTACAATTGCAAGTTAATTGTGAACGACACAGAGCATATATGTCTCCAACGTTTGATTTTTATACTTTAATTTTGAGATAATAGGACAGATTTCTTTAAAAATTATTCTTATTTTTTTAGAACACGTTCTGGTAAAGTTTGTTGCAAAACCTGTGAAGAATTTAGATTTCGCCGACAGGCCCAGCTTCGCTCTAACGGACTTAGTTTAGCTCAGATTCGTCAATTTCTTCTGCTTTGCCAAGGAAAAGTTCGTAGAGCAATTGTTGAACCTGGTAATTTAAAATATTTTTGTTAGAATATTTAAATTTATTTTAAAAAGGCACTGCTGTTGGGGCAGTTGCTGCTACTTCAATTGGCGAACCATCTACACAAATGACTTTGAAGACTTTCCACTTTGCTGGTGTTGCTTCTATGAATATTACGCAAGGAGTGCCTCGAATTAAAGAGTTTACAAAAAAATTTTTTAAGCAATAGTTACTCATATTAAAGGATAATCAATGCAGTACGCAGTATTTCTACTCCTATAATAACGGTAGCTTTGTCAAACGATAAAGATGAAAAATTAGCAAAACGTGTAAAAGCACGTATTGAACGTACAACTTTAGGTAATAATTTTTAAAATAAGTATAATTTTTTTAATTCGAAGTTTTCAGGCGAAGTTAGCGAATATGTTGAACAGATTTTCCTTCCTGATGATATGTTTCTTCTTGTTAAATTAAATGTTCGGCGTATAAGAGAACTCCAATTAGAAGTTACGCCTGATTCCATTATTCAGTCAATTTGTTCTGCACGTTTACCAATTCCTTCTATAAAATCTTCACAGGTTTTTATTAAATTATCCATTCAACTCCTTATTTTTTATGTTAAGGTTCGAACAGTTGGAAAGTCAATAATATTGGTTCGACCAGTTGACACAGGAAAATGTTCAATGGCAATGTATATGCATTATTTAAAATACTATTTGCCAACTGGTGTGATAATTTTTTAAATTTATTTTGAAATTATAAAAAGTTATTTCAGTTCCAATCAAAGGAATTCCCGGCGTTACTCGTTGTGTAATTAATGCTGACGATAAGAAAGGGGAATCTTTTCAGTTGTTTGTTGAAGGCTCAAGCTTTAAAGAGGTTTTGGCGCTGAATGAAGTCAATGGAATTAAGACAAGGTAGTTTTATTTTTTTCTAAAAGATCGTTATAACTACCATTAAAGAAATTTTCTTTAGATTTAACAATGCAATTATCATTGCTGAAGTATTGGGGATTAAAGCCGCTCGTGGTTCAATAATTTCTGAAATTTTGAATACAATGAGTGAACACGGAATTGAATTAGACCGTCGACATGTTATGTTACTTGCTGATTTGATGACATATCGGTTTGATGGCATTTTAAATACTATTTTAAATATTCAATCTTTAAGTGGCGAAGTGCTTGGTATTACAAGAAATGGGCTGGTAAAAATGAAGGAATCTGTGCTTTTGTTGGCTTCTTTTGAAAGAACAATTGACCATTTGTTAGAATAATTAAAAAACCAAATTGATTTCTAATTAGAAATATTTTTCAGATATGAAGCAGCGTTTTTTGGACAAAAAGACAGAATTGTGGGTGTTAGTGAATGTATAATAATGGGTGTACCTATTGGAATTGGAACTGGAATGTTTAAACTTTTACAAAAGCAAATATCTCAGAAAAAATCAGAAAATGAACAGCAAGACAATAAAGGAAAGGTAAGAATATAAAGTTTAATTTTTTTGTAAAATTCTTTTGATATTTAAGATCCAGTTACTTTCTCCAAAACGAGAAGTTTTGAGTGCATCTACTTCTCAACAAACGCAGAGTTTGGGTCCTTCAACTAGTGGAAGAAGACGGCGTCAGGCATCAACATCTACAGGTAATTTTTAAAATTTCAAAATTTTTGTTTTATGCAAATACATTTTCTTTTTAATTTTAGCACCTCTTAAAGAGGCTAAAATGGAAATTGAAAGTAGTGAAGAACAAAGTATTGAAGTATTACCTCCTCCACCTCCAATACCGATGCATAGACAGCCAATTTTTGAAATGCCTGAATTAGGATTGATTATCTGATTTTTGTTGATTACATTTAGTTAGAAAATTTATTTTTATTAATTTATTTGAATTTAAAGTTTTACTTTAAAATTACTTGTTTTTGTTTTTAAATTTTAGTTAATAAATTTTATAAAAATTATTTTATTTTTATTAAATGCTTATTTATTTGCAAAAGAATTTTTAATATTTATTTGTAACAATTTTTATTTTTAAAAGTTTTTTTCAAGCATTTTATGCGGAACATTAGAATTGGACGCTTTACGCGTGGATACTTTTGCACAACTATAGTTTTCCATTTTCTAGCGTTTTTCTTTGGAGCTCAAATTTTCAGGTGTTTTTAATATTTTTAAATTATTTCATATTTAATTTTAAAAAATTTTCGGAGATTTTATACTTTAAGTTTTTTATTAAATAAGCATTAATAAATAACTTAATAATTTTTCATTTAAATTCTAGTTTTGACACCTTCCTTTTTGCTCTTCTTTTAACTACTACTACATTCTTACCTCTAAACATCTCTTGTTCTGAAAGTGCTGAAAAATTTTGGAATTGTTGGGATAATCAGTAAAAATATATTTTTTAATTAAGAAAAAATTAAATTTTATGTAGTCCACAAACTATCTCTCAATTATATTCTACTCGTGTTGCTTTTGGTAGTTTAATTGGTTCTTGGATTGGTGTTTTTGTTGTTCCTTTAGATTGGAATCGTTGGTAGAGTTGTTTTTGAATTTGTTTTATACGACAAAAAAATATCAACAATTTTTTAAAAATAGTTTTCTGATGTTCCTAATTTTGGCCAGTGTTCATAATCTCGTACCAAAATTCGTACTCGTACTTTGGTACGAAGTATGAGTACGAGCCAAAATTAGGGGTGGTACGAGTACAAACAAATCTAAAATTTATGAACACTGTTTTTGGCAATATTTTAGATTTTTTTGTCAAAAAATTTTTAAAAAATTTATAGAGAAAAGAGGGAAATGTTACCTCGAAATAAATTAATAAATTAATTTCATTTTAATTTTTATCAAATTTTTTATCAAAATAATATCTTTATTCCTTCAATAGTTTTTTAATTTAGGTGGCAGCGTTGGCCTATTTGCTCTGTCTTTGGTTTATTTATTTTTTCACTTATTGGTGTATTGTCTGCTTATTTCCGTCTCTTTACTAATTATCCAATTAACAAGGCAATTTTAATTAAAAATATTTTTAGAATTATTTAAATTAATTTCAAAAATAATTCTAAAAATTAAATAAACCTCTAAATATTTAAAGAACAACAAAATATAAATTGCATTATCTTCATTATCAACTCATTTTAAAAACATGTCATTAACTTAAAATCAACCAACCAAAATATTTATTAAACAACAAACAACCAATTTATATATCAACAATATTTTAACAAATTCCAGATGTTCCCTATTTTGGCCCCAAAAGCCCGCAGACCAAGTGAAATTGAAGAACAACAACAATCTGATAATGCTTCAAAGTCTTTACCTAATGAAACAACCTCTTCTGCTGCTGAACGTTATTTTCAAGCACCAGAACTTCCAAAATTACGGGCTATTGTTTTTGCTGAATTTGATAATGATATTGGACGTGTTCTTAGATTTCAGGTGTTTTTTGTGTTTTCTTGTTTAATAATAATTAAATTATAAATTATTTTTTCTTTCTAGATTCCTTGTCAAGTTTTTGATAAACAAAGGTTTGAGTCTATTTCTTCTGCGATCATTCCATCCGAGGAGGTGAACAGTTTTTTTTTAATTGTTTTAATAAATTATTTAAGATGCGTGACAGAATGATTACTGTAAATATGTTTGAAAATAAAATTATTGGATACCCAATTGGAATGAGTAAATTATTTTTGTTAAATTTTTTGAAAACAAAAATTTTTTTATTAAGAGGACAAAAGATATCCTCGTGAAATTCTTATTTTCAACATGTGCTTTGTTATTTCTAGACAAGTTGAATGTGATTGGATATATGAACCTTTGGTACAAAAATGTGCTGAATATTTGGTTGAATTAGAAAAAGTGGGGGGAAAATAAAGAAAAATAATTTAAAAAAAATATTTTTTTTGTTTTAGGAACGATCATTCATTTCTGAAGAAAAATTGCGTCTTCCAGTTTTAATGAGAGAAATATTCCTTGGATTAAATAATAAAGGCAAAATTAAAAATCGTTTATTAAAATTATTAGAATAATTTTACAGGAGAATGTTTCTATACAGTAACAGAAAGGACAACAATTTATTTAAAATTATTTTCAAATTCTCGTGGAGTAGAACCTCCATTAGTCAGCCCATTTTCTGTGCCTATATTTACTAGAATTCCCCCTCCTACCTCGCAATCACAACTTGAAAGAATGGATGTACTTTCTCAAAAAGTAAATTTTAAATTAAATATTTTTAAATAATCTTTAACAGATTTGCCCTCAAATAGACGGAATTCGTTGTGTTAAAGATATTGCTTGTGTTGTTAGAATTGACAGTAAATTATTTAATTATAAATTAAAAAAAATATTTTTTTAAAGCTGATCTAGTTGCTCGTTGTATTCGAAATTTATGTTTTTATGGATGTATTCGTTTACTACCAATGTTTTTATATTTTAATTGTTATGTTCCAACTAAAAAGATTAGATATTTTATTGAAAGTCCGGGAATTGTTGAGGTGGGAAATTTTGAAATTTTATTTAATTTCAATTAAATAATTTAAATTTAACAGCGTTGCCAACGTTTTTCTATTCTCGATTCAAATGCACCAATTACTAGACCCTCAGATATTTTTAGACTTTATTTGGGACTTAAAGTATAATAATTAGGTAGTTATTTTTAAATACATTTTATTTTCAAAGCATGGAGCTACTTTACATAATTGGTTTTTATTAATGTCTCCAAGGCAATTAAATATTGATGAAAGAAAATTAATTCAATTTGGGGTTTATCATGGATTTATACGAAAATTAAATATATATCCTGTTGCATTACATGAGGATGGAACTAAGTAAATAATTTTAATTATATCTATTGTTTGATTTTATAATCTTTTTATTGATTGATTCAGAATCAAAAATTTTTTTATAGTACAAAAAATATATAAGGCCTCAAAAAAACGTGAAAATGGACCCAAAAACTGGGAAACGGGTCCGGGTCCCGTACCCGTTCCGATCTCTATTTGAAATAGTTTTTTCCTTCCTTAATATAACTCTGGCATATTTAATAAAAGGATTAAATTTTATTCAGGAAATCTGCACAGATTAATTATGTCTTGATTTCTCGACTCCCCGATTTATCAACTTTTTTTGCGGGGGAACGTGGATGTAGGAGAATAGGGGAAAAGAGGAGAATGAAAAATCATTCGAAAACATGGAATATTTTTTGAGTTAAAATATTTTTTTCTTTCAAAAAATTTATTTTTTTTTTACTTCAAAGTTTAATTTAAAATTAAAATATTTTAAAAGAATTGCCGCAGCATGTACTGGAGAATTTTCCTTAGATGATTTAGCTTTACGTTATGTCTGTTCTCCTGTTGAATTACATAGGAAATTATCTTTAAATGGAAATTTTCAATTTATTTTTCGATGAATTTAATGTTTTGCTAATTTTGTTTTTTTAATTTTATATTTTGTTATATGTATTACCAAATATTTTTTTATTTATTTTAAAGAAGTAAAGTTAGGTAATCAAAAATTATATTTTGAATTTATTTTAATTTGAAAAAAATTAAATATATAATTAAAGCCACCACAAATTTAATTTGAACTCGGCTGTGGTTTTTTAATATTTTTTATGAGAAAGATTGTTTTTCTCAATATCCTTTTTATTCCAAAGCCCCAAAAGTTGCTTAACACCAAATAATCTGCTCTTAATTGTCCACTTCAATTTCTTTTACAAAACCTAAACCTTTTGGATTCAAGTTTTGTTAAAAGATTTAGGCAGGGTGGGCCTTATTTACATGACATTTGCCCTATTTTTGACCATTTCATCCTATTTTTTCTTTGTTTTCTACAATTTTGTAATATTTTTCAAATTTTTGGCATTTGTAAATAAAATGGCTGTAAAAGGAAGAAATATGGCTTCTCGGATTTTCAAGGCAGCTGCACCAGCTCAAGTTATGGAAATTTATTTCTTTGTAATATTACAAATCCAACTATATATTTTATTACAAACCCAACTATATTCCCCTGGATCCCTATGCCTCCATATCCCGGAGCCAACATGGACTTTCTTCGAAAACCATCGGCCAGTGATTCAGGTACCTTTCGGGGGGTTTTCCCATTTTCCTTTTACCGAATTTGATCGACTATAACTTTTTCATGCTTGATCTAAACTAAATTAATATACCTATCTTTAGAAAGCTCTCGATAAGCGCTATCAACAACGATTTCTTGCACTTATAGAGTCGTAACCTTTTTACGAGTGATCAAACTTGATCAATACAGTTTGGAACCACCACCCGAAATACTGTCATTCCCCAAACTTTAAACATTTAAACAACAACTAAACACTTAAGATCTGAATGAATATTAGATTTTTAAACTATATAAATTGACTTTATATATTTTTTTGTAATTTAATTTATAATATTTTTTCAAATTAAAATTTGTTGCTAACATGTTTTTTGTTTTTTACAAATTAAAAAATCATTCACTATTTATTTACTTAAAAATTTAATCTTTCAATTTATTTTCACAATTTTAGAACTTTCTCCAATTCATTCATTATCTTCTTCTCTTTTTCTTTTTTTAATATTATTTTTATTTTCATTAAATATTTCAAAATTATAAACTCCAAAATTAAATAAAGGCATTAATTCAAACATATAAATATTTTCTCCAAATATTCCTTCCTCATTATTTTCATTAAAAATAAACATCATTTCTCCATCTTCATATTCTTCGTCTTCTGCTTTACTTGTATAAATTGTCACAACTTGTCTTAAACTTTCGAAAATTCTTTTCTCAACTTCATTTAATTCAAAAAACATTTTAACTACACATTTTTCTTCATTTTCTTCTTTTATTTTAACAAAAAATTTAATTTCTTCTTCTGTTCCTTCGGAATGGAAATTAATAAAAAAATTTCCTTTTTCTTCAAATTTTATACAAATTTCTATATGAGAATGTCCCTGTTTTTCAACAAGTTTATTATTTCCAATTATTTTATTAAAAATATTTTTATCTATTTTCTATTATTTTTATAATGTATTTCCTCTAAAATATTTTTAGCACGGATGGTCCTGTCGCATTTATCTCCTTTTTTATTGTACGGACCCAGGAGAGGAGTGGGAATTGGGCGTACATGTTAGCCTATTTACAGGCTTATGGGATCACAATTTGTGATCCCAAAAGCTACATATGGGATCACTTATAGGTCATAAAATATTAAGTGTTAATTTTTCATTGACTCCGGAAATGGGTATATTTAATTTTAGAGGAAATACATTATTATATTTTGTTCTTTTAATTAATTTTTTAGGTCCTTCAGGATTCAAATAACAAATTAATCTTGTTAATTTGTGTTGTTTATCTCTCCATTCATTAAGATATGTATCTATTCCATTTACATTTAATATGTTTATATCCTCCTCACCAGTCCCATTTACTTCCATTTTAGCGTAAAAAATTGGTTTAATTGCTACCATTGTCTTTAAATTAATTAAATTATTATTAGTCTTATTGTGTAATTAAGATATAAAAGTTAATTCCCTTTACATCAAATTAATCACCTATGCATCAGCTCAATTTATGAACATAAGTTTCTACCTTCATTGACTAATTAAAATAAAGAAATCAGATATTAACAAATAATCAAAAAATCTCTATTAATGGATACATTCGATTTAAGACAATATTTTCAATCCTAAGTGTTTATCTTATAGTAGTGGGGTTTGGCTCTACATAAATACCTAATTCCAATATTAAATTGAAGGAGATTGCAATTTCAAAAGCCTTAAACTTACAGTTCCCTCTTCCATATTTTCTTCTTTTAAACAAATATCCAATCCTTCTCTATAAGTGTCAGTACTACCAGAATCATCGCCAAACAACTCCTTAATTCTAATTATTTTTATTTCCGAGCCATTTTTTAACATTTTTTTATCGATATTATTTTTATTGTATTTTTTATATCCATTCTCATAGCAAGCATCTAAAGACTATTTAATTAAATTTTGTTTTAATTTTTATATCTAGATTAAGATAACGAAGCTTGTCTTGTAAGGTAATTCGATACAAAATTATAGGTACTCTTCAATTTGCTTTGGTTGGCCCCTAAATAGGGAGAACTGCCTAAGTGACACCTTCTATTAAAGATGCACCTTGATATAAGGTATGATTTTTTCAGCCCGTTAGCAAATAAAAAATATTGTCTCTGCATTAGACTCAATATAAATAAACCGGGACTATGCCGATGTTCGGCACATTATTTTTCGTGTCCAATTTTATCGGTTCGACTCATTAGCAACTAAAAATTAATTCAAAAATTATATTACCATGAAATGCTATATAAATTAAATCATAATTATTTAATTCAAAATTTATTTCAATATCAATTTCTAGTAAATTATCCATTACTTCCCCCTCTTCATTAATTAAATTAATATTATTTTGATTCATTTTTGTAATTTCCATTTTTATTAATTTAATTAATAAATTTCCATTGTCTTTTATATTTCTTTTTGAATTTTCAATTAATATTTTTTGGTTAGGTTTTTTTTTTTTTCTTTATCGACACAAATAAAATGTGAAACAATAAAATAAATACTCCTGGATCCACAAGGATCACTTATGGAGATAGTTAAATTATACAAAAAAAAATTTAAAAAAAAAAAAATATGGTAATACAGTTAAAAAATATATAGTTAAAAAAAATGGACTCCACAGAAAAAAATATAAATAAATGCAATAAAATTATACACAATAAAACGAATGTCATCAAAAAAAATAGCTTAAATAAATATTTTTAACTAAATGGTCAAGTAAAATTTAATTAAAATTAAATTAAAACACAAAACAGTGAACATTTTGGGTAGGATTTACATATTTTATTAATACATTTGTTTTGTTAATACATTACGCTCCATTAACCTCTTGCTTATAAATTAGAATCTTCGGCGATTAATATTTTATCTAAAAGTCTTCTGTGATTAATATATTGTCTAAAAATTTTTTAAATTGAGGAATGGTATTGATTTTTTCGATTTCATTTTTTGGAAGTTTATTCCACCTATCTATAACTCTATGTGAGAAGAAATGATTATTTTTGGCTTGTTTTTTAAATAATTGATATCTATGTAAGCGCGGATTATTTCTATTAGGTTTTGAAAATATTTGTTCTGGCTTTATTTTATAGAAACCCTTTACTATTTTGAAGGTTGTCATAAGATCTGTTCTTATACGACGGATATTAGTTGGTGGGAGATTGCATCTTTTTAGTCTTTCGTTATACCCTATTTTTTGATATTTGTATTTATATCTTAAAATTCTCCTTGTAAAGCTTTTTTGCGGTCTTTCTAATTGTTTATTAAGATATTCTAATTTGGGGCTAAAATTTTCAGTGGAATACTCCATAAGTGGTCTTACGTATGTTTTGAATGCTTTTACATATGTTTCTATTGGTAATGTTTTGGGTAATATTCCTAGGATATTATTTAGCCTTATAAACGAGGACTTAGTAATTTTTGCTATATGTTGATCGAATTTAAGTCTGTTATCTATGTATATACCTAGGTCTCTTATGTTAGTAACTTCTTCGATTTTTTCACCACTAATCTCATAATTAAAATTAATTTTGTTGTATATTTTTAAAACTTTTACTTTTGAAATAGAGAATTCTAGCTTATTATCATTTGCCCATCTATATGCATTGTTTATAGCTTTTTGTAGTTCTATGCAATCTTTTTCTGACTTTATTTCTGAATAAAGCTTGAAATCGTCTGCATATAATTTTACTTTTATATTTTTTGGAATGTGGCTGGGCAGGTCATTTATATAAATCAAAAAAAGCA